CCTTAGTGTTATGCTTGGATTTCTTTTCTTTTATTTTTTTTAGTTATCTGTATATGTATTACAGATTTTAGGTCTGTGGTTACCATAAGGTTCTTAGATTCTTTCCTAAATATATAACAGTCTTATAGTTGATCACTCTGTTTTGAACAAAGTCTTGAATTATTTCTTTCTTGTTGTTCTTTTTCCCCCACATTTTATGTATTAGATGTCGTAATTTGCATTTTTTGTGTATCCTTTGACTGATTTTGTATGTAGTTGATTTTCTTTTTTTTTTTAACTTCATACTTGCTTAGTAAGTTATTGGTCTTCTACTTTACTGTGGATTTATTTTCACTGATGAAAATTATGTAGGTTTAAGAATATTTCCATCTTCAGAAGTCTCTTTAACAAATCCTATAATGCTGGCTTAGTGGCGGTTAATTCTTTTAACTTTAATTTATCTGGGAAACTTTTAATCTCTCCTTTAATTATGAATGATAACCTTGCTGGGTAGAGAATTCCTGGTTGAAATTCCTTCTGTTTCAATACATTATGTATTTCATGCCATTCCCTCTGGCTTGTAAAGTTTCTGCTTAGAAATCTGCTGATAGCCTTATGGAGTTACCTTTATAAGTAATTTTTTACCTCTCTGTAGTTGCTTTCAGAACCTTCATCTTTGTCATTTTAATTATTACCTGTCTTGGTATTGTCTTCCTGGGGTTCCTTTTGTTAGGGGCTGTCTGTGCTTTCAGGACCTGGGTATCTGTTTACCTCCCCAGATTGGGAAGTTTTCAGCAATTATTTTTAAAAAGAGACTTTCTACTCTTTTGTCTCTCTCTTCTCCATCTGGTACCCCTGTTAAGTGAATATTGTTTGATTTGGAGTTGTCACACGGCTCTCTTAGCATCTTCTTGATTCCAGAGATTCTTCTTTCTCTCTTCCTCAGCTTTGTTGTTTTTCTATTCTCTAATTTCTATCTCATTGTCTCCTCTACTTACAGCAATCTATTATTCATCTCCTCCATTGTATTTTCATTTTCAGTTACTGTATTCTTCAGCTCTGAGTGACTCCTTTTCAGATCTTCTCTTTGTTGCAGATCAGTGAACATATTTAAGACTGTTATTTTGAAATCTTTGTCAAGAAGATTGGTGACCTCCATTTCACTTAGCCTTCTTTCTGGTGTCTTGTTTGTTTGGATCATATTCCTCTGCCACCTCATTTTGTCATGGCTCCGTGTTTCTTCCCGTGTATTAGATAGATCTGCTATGTCTCCTGGTTTAGAGAGGAGTACCTTTGTGAAGAAGAAACAGACATCCTGTAGTGCCTAGAGGCTCAGAGCTCTTTGCTCACCTGTGCCTGGTTCTCCTTTGCAGTGGAGCTGCAGTTGCTGTTGGTAGGCTTTGGGCAGGGCCGCCTTGCTGCCTGTTTGTTGGCAGTGGCTGATCTCTGTCAGTAGAGGCCCTTTGTGAGCCATGCAGCTGGCACTTCTGCAGGGATCATTATGGGTGGAGTTGCCCTCTCCTTGCCCTGCAGCGATGGCAGCTCCTCTGCGCTGATGGGGTGGGTGGGGCAGGTGTGTGTGGGAACACAGCTATGGGCTGAGCTGCCAGCAGAGGAGGGAGCATTTGGAGCTGGCTTCCACAGGTGCCTATCCAGTTGGGCTGAGAGAGGACCAGGGAAGCTGGGAAAGCCTTCCTCTGCCTGCCAGGCACCAAATTCTGACCACTGCTGGGCCTAGTGGGACAGGCAGGAGGGTGCACAGAGAAGCTCCTCAGTGCTGAGCCACCAGCAGGAGGGATAGAACCTTTGAGGCTGGCTACTGTCTGTGCATGACCAGATGGGCTGAGGGAAGGCTAAGAAAGCATCATCTACCTGCCCTTATCCTTCAAAGAGAGCTCTGTCCAATCCCCACCCCTCTGGCACCCTTCTTGCTGCTGGTAAATCTTTTAAACATCCCCCTCTGTGTTGGGTCTCAGCGGGACCACTGGAGCATGCCTGTCTTCCACATGTGGCAGGAGTCTTAGCCTCCCAGAGTGCTCCAACTCTCTGTGGTTTCCAGCCTTGTTTATCACCAGAACCCAGTGCAATGTGTACTCATGTTGCTAGAGCAGATCTCTAGGGCCAGAAGTGCAGAGTTCCTGAGTGTTTATCCCCTTCCTGCTCTGTTCTCTCCCTCCCTCTTGTTGGCTGGGATGGGTGAAGGGCTTGGGTCCCACTCAATGGCATCTCTGCCACTTTATCCTTCTCTATTATTTAGTACAGACAGTGGTTTTCTCTTCTTCACCCAGTGTAGTGGTCTGTTCTGCAGTCTTCAGGTCATTTTCAGGGTTAGTCATTTTTGCTGTAGATGCTTCCTTGGTGTCTATGTGGGAAGAGGTTTCCACCTTGCTTTCCTACTCTACCATCTTTTTTGCCTGAAGTCCCTGTTTGCTGTTTTCATGTGTAGAAAACCTGACTTGGGTAGTATAAGGACTTCAAATGATAGTTTTATTTGGGCTAAATATAAAAGTAACATAGGGTTTGTGTATGTTATATTCTGTGTTAAGTATATTAACTTACTATATCATCACAAGAACCCTGTGAAGTACTTAATAGTATTAGCCTTATTTTACAGATGAAGAAACAGGTCCAGAGCAAGTAAATAACTTGCTGGCAGAGATAAATACACACCTAAACAATTTGGCTCTAGAGTCAGTACCACAATGCTGGATTGACTCTGTGTATAATGTAGAGGCCTTTTGAATATCTAATTTGGTTCTCAATCTGTAGCATGAACCTGGGCTTTATGTTAGCTCTTCATTAAATTTGAAAGATTTCCTAATAGTCTAATTAGAATGTTTGCAAAATTTCCTGTATGTCTTTTGAGATGTTATTTTCCTTAACTCACTTGAGAGAATTTTTTACCTTTTTTGCCTTGTCTTTTAAAAAACATTTATAGCTGTTATTAGTGCTTTCTTTTCATTTACTTCTTAGCCACTAAGACTCAAAAAATTTTTGTTTTAAATAAGATGACACATGATAGTATTTGCTGAAATTAACCACTAGAGCATTTTGTTGTGATCTTGGGGGCTTTTCTCTGGATAAAATCTACAATATTGGTTTAACTAAATCTGTACTGCCTGTTTTGGTGTGGCTCATGAGCTAGGAATGATTTTTACATTTTTAAATACTTGGAAAAAAAAAATCAAAGTAATACTTATGACATATGAAAATCATATGAAATCCAGTATTTCAGTGTCCATAAATAAAGTTTTATTGGAATACAGCCACACTCATTCGTATGACTAGTTTTGCGTTACAACAGCTAGATTAAATATTTAGTACAGACAGTATGCCCTGCAAAACTTAAAATATTTACTATCTAGCCCTTTACAGAAAAAGTTGCCAACCACTGTTTTTGAATAATTTACTTATTTATTTGGTAACTATTCCTTGTATTTTCCTTCACTAGAATGTAAACTCTGTAAAGGATGAGATGTCTGTTTTGTTTATAGAAATATTTTAATTACCAGAAACAGTGCTTGGCTCATAATAGCTGTTCATTAAATAATTGAAGAGGGTAAAAAAGGTATGCATTTATAAAAATAAATGCTTTATGTCAAAATAATGATAGCTAACATTTATTAAGCACCATTTTGATCTCACAGCAACCATACGGATTTTTATTAAGGTAAAGTACAGGTGCTGTTATTCTCATTTAACATCAAGAAGAAACTAAGACAGGGAGGGAGAAAAGTGACTGACCCAGTGTTACACAGCTACATTAATGGCAAAACTGGTATGTAGAATCTGATGATAGGTCCGGTTTTCTAAAAATGACTCCACATTGAATGAATACTGCCTTTTGCAGAAAATATGTAGTTAACTCTGTTCAAAGTTTAGTGGAATAGTTTTACTTTAGGAGTTTGTCATCTTTTCTGATGTTTTGTCATGAGCTACTACTATTCCTGCCAAGAACAGGCAATTAAGAGAGCTTAGACTGATCCAGTTGACAAATCAAGTCTAGGAAATAATGGTGTTACTAGCTTCTCCCCCTCAGTTTATTATCTGTTGGTTTTAACCTAATCAGATTTTCCCTTTTACAATGACTTTTGAAGTTAGAATTGATATAATAGAAGGTAGATGTAATATGGCAGTGGAGGTAATGGAGGTTTTCAACATTATTTTGAACTTTAACTTGAATCAAGTTTCTTGATAATATATATGCTTTAAATATGAGAATTTGATTTGCCATTAAATATAAAAAGTCAAAATTACATCAGAATAGTCATCTTATCTTGTTGAATAGAATTAAAGATACTGACAGTGTGTATATTTCTTTATATTTTCATAGATTTTGTATCTTTCCTTCAGGTGTACTTTCTCATGCCCTGATGTGTTAAGTTTCTACATTGTACTGTTGCAATGCGTCCACCTCCCAGAAAAGCACATCATTTCTTATATAAGCTGCTAAGTGTTTATCCCAATTTTCTTTTTAAAAAAAAAATTTGTTCCCTTAGAATTACCTAATAATATTCTAATAGCTCAATATTTTATAATTACTTTGCAGACAGATCAGATTCATTTTGATATTAAGTTTAAGCAAATTTTAATAGAAGTGTTTTGAATTTTTTACAGTGTAAAAGTAATAGAATAAAGAACAAAGAAATAACACTTACCTATCAACCTAACACAACTATTTAAAGTTTACGTATAACTCTGTGGAGTATCTGTTCAAAATGTCTGTATAGAATAATGGGATTTTAAGTTTTGAGGGAATCTGGCCTAATCCTTTTTATGTAAAGAAACTGTGTGATCTGTTGGTATGTGTGTCATTTTTCTAAAAGTATCATCAAGCCCTTCAGAATATAAACTTCCTGGCCTGCTGCATTTTTATTGTACCACCATGACTTGTTAATTTACAAAGTCCCTTTATTTGACTTGGCGTAAGGGAGATATTTTGCTATGTGTAAAACTAAATAAGAATGCTGCTGCATATCTACATATATTTATGATGCCTTTCTTTTAAAATTTTTCTTCAGCTTTCTAAAACCAACTTTTCCAACAACAACGATTTCCGTGCTCTTCTGCAGTCTTTGTATGCTACTTTTAAGGAGTTCAAAATGCACGAGCAGATAGAAAATGAGTACATTATTGGTTTGCTTCAACAACGCAGCCAGACCATTTATAATGTTCATTCTGACAATAAACTCTCTGAGATGCTTAGCCTCTTTGAAAAGGGACTGAAGAATGTTAAGGTGAGTTGCAAAAATGGGTAATAACTTTCACAGCTTGTCATCTTCTGCTATGTCATTGGGAAAAACATGTTATCATTTCATAGTAAATGATGTTCTATTAAAGAAAAAAAATTGTTCTGATACTTAAAGACAGTAAGGAAGAGTTTATTCAAGAGGACAACTAACTGCATGGGGCATTCAGTAGCAGAGAGAGGGGCTCAACTCTGAATATAACAAGGACAAGTGGGGATTTATAGCCAAAGTGTATGGTGGAGGTCAGGAAAATTACTAAGAGGAAACATCAAGTCTAGGGAGATTCTTGCTACACCCATTTAGAACTGAGTGTTTCTGAAGGTAAACCAGGGTTATAAGATACTGAGGATGGATAGATGTCAAGGGAAGTCGTGTATGACTGGTTGGGAGATTTTGGTAAACTGACTCAGGATGATTTTTACTAAAGTTAGATTAAGTGGGCTAAGGACAGAGCTCAAGGTTGAGGCTCAGTTGAGAAGAAGGCTCAAAGGAGGCTGACATTGGTTTGATGAGAATTTTTGTCAGGTACCTCTTTATTACTGTCCTTAAAGTTTTATAATGAGTCCTACTTCCCAAATTTTAAAGTTGTTTTGTAAGTTGAAATTTCAGTTATCATAATTTTTTAACTTCCTGATAACATTTGTTGGATTCTTAAAAGAAAGCTATATTAAATGTAGATATTGGTAACGAAAGAAAATTGTTGTTTAAAATGAATAAACATTATAATTTTATTAACTTTGTCTTAAAATTGAGTTTAGCTATGTTTATTGTATTTTCTTTTGCCATATTTTAAGATGCATAGGTGGTGGTTAATACTTTTTAATTGTATAGCATAAAATTGAAGATATTTTTGCATATAATTTAGTATAATGATATAGAGAAATTTTCCTATTTATATTTGTGTATTATGGGACATTTGAAATTTGCTCTTTGTTTACCCTTTGTGCTTGGTTAAGCATAGACTTAAGTTGCAACTCTGTCAAACCTTTCACTTACAGATTTGTGTTCTAATTCTCAGCAGGGAAGAGGATGGATTGAAGGGAAAAGAAAAGACTCAAACAGGAAGGCAGTTTATAAAAAACTGACTATAAAAAAATTATTGTAGTAATCTTAGGAAGAATACATGGTAGGGGTAGGGTACTGTGTAGATGGGTATTTGCCTTTGAATATTCCTTCATACTCTTCAAACTTTATGTCATATTCTTGTATTCCCTATTCAATAAATGATTAAGATCTAACTAAAGTAATGAGTAGTGGAGATAAAGGGGAGGGAGCAGACTTGAGAATTATGTAGGACATAAAATTGATAGAATATAGTGCTTGCACACAAAGGGAGGGAGAAAGGAGAAAGAAAGGAAGTAATGAGAATTGAGCATGACTTTCTTGGGAATATCAGAGAGGCTTGGGGAATACAAAGATCCATTTTGGAGAGGTTGGTTTTGAACTGCTAGTGTAATTCATGGGTGCATTTAATAACAGGAGGAGGCATAGATGGTTTGAAGGGCAGAAGAGTAATTTGGTTTGGAAAGGCAGATTTGATGATTATTGGCACATAAGTGGTAATGGAGACCACTTGGGCATGCTTAGGGAAAAATGTGTGAAATCCTAAGAAAGTAGGACATTGGATGGACTATTGGGAAGCAATTGAATAAAATAGTTCAAAAATGAGGAGACTAGAGAGGGCTCAGCAGGTTTAAAATATTCCCACATTTAAAAAGTTTATTATTTTGTAAATTTTCCACATGTTTTAAGCTGAGAGGGCTGATATAAATGGATAAGTTACAGGGAGATGTGATCTTAGTTCACATGAAGAACTTTTTAGCTGTTGTCCAAAATTAGAGTGATTTTGTTCTTAGGTAGTGAGCTCCTTGCTTTTAGAAGTATGTTGATACTTTGCCTTTAAAAGTGTATATGGTCCTCTATCAGGGTAATGTGACAGGTATTCTGAATTGTTTAGTGGGGGATACACTACATGACCCTGAATGGATTTTGTAATGATATAGTTCATTAGGCTCTTCTGCTCAGAGATGTAATGAGAAAACTGACACATAGAAATTATATGAATTACATAAATATACATTAGAAATCAACTAGAAATTTTGGGAACATGCTATTTTTAGACTTTATGACATTTTAAAATAGATGGCATTACTGAGGAATTCAAGTTTCCTTTAAAAGATGTTTTAAGGACATCTTTTGTAGTTAGAAAAGTATAGAGACCACTTTACTATTTGTCAGTCTATTGTTTTTCTGAGATTTTATGTTCCATTTTAAATTGACTTCTTAGGATCAGATGCAACAAAAATAATGAAACAAAAGTTTTATAGAATATAATTTTATTTTATTTCTAGAATGAATATGAGCAATTAAATTATGCAAAACAGCTAAAAGAGAGATTGGAGGCTTTTACAAGAGATTTTCTTCCTCACATGAAAGAGGAAGAGGAGGTAAGCATAATTTTCTCCCTTGCATTACAAAATGAGGGGTCTTGAGTTACAGAATTTTTGAAATTTTACTTTGGTTTGTATTCTTCAAAATAGTACATAGGAATATAAGCCTTAAGTTCATTTAAGGAAATGAAGAAAAACCCAAGAAATAAAAGCATTAATTTTGTTCCCTCAGGATGTTGCTTTTCATGGAATGCATTTAATTCATTTACTCAACAAATATTTATTTTCTTATTATGTAGATTGTACTGTATTGAATGTTAATAATTGTTTTTATGCCATTCTAATGTCTTTTGAGAACCTTTACAGGATTCTTTAGGCTTTTCAATGTTTACTGGTTAGTTCATAGAAATTTTAGTGTTCTTTTTTTAGCAGTGGGCATTTAAAAAATGGGATGAATATTGACAAGTAATAGAAAAATTATTTTATGAGGAGCTGGGTTCTTGTTCAACTGTAAATCAGTTATTACAGTGATTCTCAACTTACCAGTTGTAATACTGATTTGATTTTTATTCTATTTATTATTTAATTTAATTTTTTTTTTACCACATTGGTATTTAAAAACAAAGCCAAACCTACTTTCAAGTCTTTTCTGGACCAATTAAATAATGTGGGAGATACTGGCATGGGTATATTTTAAAGGCTCCCAAAGTCATTGTAATATGCAACCAGCATTGAAGGCACTGAATTACTGGAGCAGTTTTTCTTAACATGTGATGCGCATCAAAATACCTGTGGAACCAAGAGCAGAAAAAAAAGGCTTGACTCCACCTATAAAGATTCTAATTTTATAAATTAGATGTTGGAATTAAACATTGGTTTTGGAGAACGAATCTCCTAGATAATAATGTGTAGTTCAAGGTCTCAGTAGATCTCTGATTTAGGGTTCCAGTACACTGAGTTCTATTCTCAAAAGATGTCAAGGCCCTCTGTAGAGTTCAGTTACTGTAGTAGCATAAGGCAGTTAACTGACCTGATTGTCTAACCATAGGAGAATGACTAAGTGCATTTGACAGTACAGGAAAATCTGGTTCTGATGCTTTTAGGTTGTTTAGGGATTGACTTATTAGCCAGAGAAGCTATAGAAAGAAGGATCTTTTTGGTGATATTCTTCTCTGTAGTTTTGGATAAATTAACTTGGTGGTAACGATTAAAATTTTTATGTCTTTAAAATGTGTGGTCATAATATTACACTTGACCATTAATAATTAAAAGGTGTAGAGTAAAAGAAAACTAAGCATCTTTCCTTATGAATATTTTGTTTAATCTAGGTTTTTCAGCCCATGTTAATGGAATATTTTACCTATGAAGAGCTTAAGGATATTAAAAAAAAAGTGATTGCACAACACTGCTCTCAGAAGGATACTGCGGAACTCCTTAGAGGTCTCAGCCTTTGGAATCAAGCTGAGGAACGACAGAAATTTTTTAAGTATTCTGTGGATGAGAAATCAGATAAAGGTGGGATTCATATGTCTAGATAGCAAATGATTAGTTCCAAGGCCATTTGCATCTTGCTGATACGAACTTTAGATTTTGTTTGAGGAATTATTTGAGCCATTTATATTAAAATATAAACTTAATTGAAGACAGTAGTTTCTGTTTTAGAATTTAGTGTTACCTGTGATAATTTGACATCTTATGCAATACAGTGTTTCTTAAAGGAATTTACATATACACATTAATAATTATAATAAAAATTATTGTTATTATTTTGGCCAAACAAATTATCCATATACAGAACACTTTTGCCGTATCATCCAACTTGCTGAGCTCCAGTGACCATGGTGGCTGCTTTTGTTCTGCTTTGTCTTTTTGGTCAGTGTTTAAAAACATTTACACTTTTAGTTTTATCTCCACCCTTGTCCATGTGTCATTCTCTTAGCTTATATTCAGTAATCAACAGGGGAGTGAGTAGGGGAGACACAGTTTTTCTGTATACAGTTAATTGGAGAAAACAGGTGAGAAATGCAAATAAAATATGCCTGCTTTTTTCCTTAATAGACTACTTCCTAATTTTTATTCTTATTTATCTTTGAAAGGTGAGCCTTTTATTAAAGAAAACTGGTATCTTTAGGCTAGTAAAAATTCCTTTGCTTTTTATAGGTGGACAAAAGAAATGAAATTCCTGTTAAAATAGCTTAAAATTCATTGAAATTGGTCCTTTTCTCTTGTTTTTATTTAACAAAGTAGGTGAGATACATGTTGAAACAAAAATGTTTCTGTAGGTTAAGCTGTAATTAAACCCATAAAGCCTGTGTACTACACTCAGAAATGCAGCTTGTGCTCTAGACACCAAGCCAATACCTGTTGTGTCTAGTTTAATTGTAATAATAACATAGGGTTTCAAAGCATCACACTTACTACATTTAATTTTCCACTCCTTCAAAGCAAATTATAGCTATATTATGTTTAAAATATTTGCCATTTAAAAAGGGTTAGGTTAAAGTAATTTGATCACAGCATTTCTATATTTAAGTTTCTTTGTGAAGACAAATCAGATATACAAGGTAGTCAAATTCTTTGTCCTACTTTAATAGCGAATGTTTTGTATTTATATTCTTTATTATTGTACTTCATTTGCATTTTTCTTCCAGAAAATTACTACTGAAATAATACATTATAGGAAATTGGACATCCAATGATAACTTTCTACAAGAGTTGCTGACAAAAGATTCCCGATAAAATATATACCAGTGTTAGAAATATTTACATTATGTTTCAGCTGGCTCATAAGTAGTCTACATAGGTTAGGACACCTGTAAGTTAAAGAAGTCCGATTTCACAGACCTTTTATATGAAGTGTGAAAATCAAAGTGGGAACATGAGGATACAGACAGGAAGGAGTCTGAATGTGTGAATGGAAAATGTGAGATTTGTGTGTGTCATTAGAAATGCCTTGGAGATCTCATAATCTGGCCGACTCTACACTTGTTGATTTAAAGCTGTATAACCTGTTGGGTCCCTTTTTCAAATGATGTGTCTTTATGCTACAAAGTGAGTATTGTTTTTTCTGTGATGCCTTTGTAAGAGGAAGTCAACTCTGTGTTCATTATTGTAGCTCCCACTGATGAAGGGTGATTTGGGCCATGATAGTTTAACCCTCCGGGTTTCTTAACAAGCTTAACATCTCCATGTTACCCGTAATCCATGTTATTTCCTTTTCACATCTTGGAAGCAGGAAGGAATGGACTCTAGGCACTGAATTTTATTTACAGAAATATGATTGTGATTTTGTATTGCATTTGATCTTATAGCCTTGAATGTTAAAGTTTTTCTCTTTTTATTTCAGAAGCAGAAGTGTCAGAACAATCCACAGGTATAACCCATCTTCCTCCTGAGGTAATGCTGTCAATTTTCAGTTACCTTAATCCTCAAGAATTATGTCGATGCAGTCAAGTAAGCACTAAATGGTCTCAGCTGGCAAAAACTGGATCTCTTTGGAAACACCTTTACCCTGTCCATTGGGCCAGAGGTAGGTAAATGGCACTTCTAGATTGTTTTCACAATATTTCAGTCTATTCTCTTAGATAATCACTTACTGACAGTAATAAACAAGCCAGGAAGGAAATCTGTGAAAGGTGGTCCAAAAAGTAGATTTCATATTAGATAATGTATTCTTTGAATACATTTTGAAAAACTAGCAGTCTTAAAGTATTCATGGGTGAATTATGTGATGTGTGCAATTTCTTTTAGAGTAACTAGGAAACAATAGAGGACGGAATGCAAAATAATTGGTAAAATATTGATAATTGTTGAAGATAGTGATGACTAGATGGGTCTTATATTAAATTTTTATTTATTATGCTACTTCTTCCCTTTGAATATGCTTGGAATTTTTCATAATGAAAGTTAAAAATAAAAGTAATAGGTTATCAGAACAACTTTAAATAATTTGATTATTTGGGAATTTAAAAACTAGAGAATAAATTATTTCTGTAAGTTAAAAGAAGAGGCACCTTTATGGCTCCCTTTTGGTAGTGGTTCAAAATAACTGAATCTATTTTGTTTTAGCATATTTTTTTTGTGATTGGCAATGCATCATTTTACAAATCACAATTTCATATTAACTTCATTGTGGTAAGTTACTTTTTTACATGTGAACAATTAAAATTTTCTGTTCATGAGCATATAGTGCAGTCATGAGATAAATACAACTAATGTAGCATACATTTTTCTGTCACTGGTTAAAACAATTTCTTGTACGTGAGTATTAGACTCAAAATTCATGTTAATTTTATTTTTATTTTACTATAATTTGGCCCTTTGGCATGGAAATACTTCTCAGATGATTATGAGTCAGATTTAAGAAATTTGATTTCTTAAATTAATATGTAGCACTTCTAAAATAAGCTGTTGTTAGATATTTAATATTTGTGAGTGAAGCTCTTTGGAGTAATGCTTAGAATTATATCATCCAAATGATTAAAATTATTATTCTTATGTGGAATAATTTTTCTTATAAGTTATAGGATAATGAAATACTAAGTGAAAACTCAAATAAGGTAAATATGGCTATATCAAATGCTTTTTTTAGCTATATTTTTAACTAAGAATTAATTATTAGGAAGTAATACATAATTATTACTTGATAGAAAGATCAAATATGATAATGCTGTGCTAGACTTCTGTGAAATTAACCAATGTTAGAAATATTCAATTGTAGTAAAAAAAAAAATCACACTAAAATAAGCAAAGGATTTAATTTGACACACTAAAAAGAACTATGAAAAATAATTCTCTATTATAGTCTTACATACAATTTTAGAAATCACTGGAAACAACCTAAGCTTTTTTTCCCCTACTCTGGTTTCACACTGGCTCCAGCAATACCCTCATTACAATGACAGCTTATAAACAAAAGGAAGCAAGACTTTTGGCCCAGTCAAAAGTCTTCTTTTTTTTCCCTGTTTTAATATGTTTAAACAAAAAGTTCCAATAAAAATAGTTTTATCTATTTTTATTTACTTATGGTATTTATTTCCAGTGTTCTAAATCAGTTGATTTTACCACTCATCTCCTCCCCGCCGCCCTCCCCAGGGACATTTTGAAATGTTTTTGTCCCATTTTGGGGGATTATTTTGGTTGGTCTCTAGTGAGTAGAGGCTAGAGTTGCTGCTCAACACCCTATGCCCAACCCCTAACCACAAAGAATTATCTGGCCCAGAATGTCAATAGTGTCAAGGTTGACAAACCCTAATTTAGATGTAATGTGAAGAGTTCAGTAAATTTATTCTACACTGTCTTCTACTTCACAATCATATATAATTTAATTGCATTATGTTCAGTAGGATCCTTTAATTTATGGCTTAGCTTTACCTTAATCTTTCCCTTTGACTTCTGTTCCTACCTACTTCTGAATGGCTAACTAATTCACTACTGGGCCAAAAGTCTTGCTTCCTTTTGTTTATAAGCTGTCATTGTAATGAGGGTATTGCTGGAGCCAGTGTGAAACCAGAGTAGGGGAAAAAAAGCTTAGATTGTTTCCAGTGATTTCTAAAATTGTATGTAAGACTATAATAGAGAATTATTTTTCATAGTTCTTTTTAGTGTGTCAAATTAAATCCTTTGCTTATTTTAGTGTGATTTTTTTTTTTTTTACTACAATTGAATATTTCTAGCATTGTCTGACTCATTGTCTAGGGCTCACATATTTTCTGTGTGTAGTGATTTTTATTATAAATAAGTTATTTTCTTGTGATGGTAACCTACCTAACCTTATTTTGTTCCTCTTATTTGTTGAGTAGGTGACTGGTACAGTGGACCAGCTACTGAATTTGATACTGAACCTGATGAGGAATGGGTGAAAAACAGAAAAGATGAAAGTCGTGCTTTTCAGGAGTGGGATGAAGATGCTGATATAGATGAATCTGGTAAGCTGTGTTTGCAGTTAAAGTTATTATATGGTGCTTTAATAATTAACATATTTAACAATTAAGTACTTATAAATTAGTAGGTGTTAGGATGTATGTATTCTGTAGTTAGAGCAACTGGTGTTTTTAAGCCTACTACTTTGTAACTTACGAAGGAAAAATAAATTAAAAATGTTTTCTGTTTGAAGTATTTGTTAAATGTGTATAGGGTTGATTCCTATCTGTTTTTATATTTCAGTACTTTAAAAAAATGAGAAAATGATGGCTGTCTTCCTTATTGAAATAATGTATGTTCATTATGGCACATTGCAGTTAACAACATGTTTTTTAGGGCTATTTCATTTGATCAGTTCAGCAGTTTTATGGAGTAATCTGTGGTCCAGAGGAAGGAACATGAGGCTCTTGAATCTCTTTATTCATACCTTTCTCACAGGTTGTTGTAGAATTAAGAAGTAATATATATATATATATATATATATATGGAAGTTCTTTGTAAAAAAGGGATTATAAAAGCTAGTGTAGCCATTCAGTAACCACTGTGGGAGAACTGGGGTGAGTAAGACTTTATCCCTACCCTCAAGAATTCACAAACCAGGGAAAATTTATAGTACCTAATTCTTAAGGTACATACTGAAAAATGCTGTAATAAAGGTTGCGGAAAGATGCTATTTGGGAGTATGGAGGAGGAAAACAAATTCTTAGATACCATTCTAGATAATAATTACTAAAAGATGGTGAAGGAGTAAAAAAATTAATGGATAAGACATTCTTTTACTTGGCCAAACTGAAACTATAGAGAATTTCTATATAAGTTGCCCCCTTATAATAGTAAGTGGGTGTGGCAAAAGAGCTAAACATGTGGAAAGGAAGGATTGCAGAGATAAAGATGATTATTTCAGTAGTAAGTTTATTTTTATGAAATGATGGTACCAGATTTTGGTATAGCTTTGAATGTTTGGCAGGTACTATACAAGGATGAAATCTTTTCCGTTTTGATTTGGTCATGTACTTATCCTGTGGCAGGCACTTACTAGGCATGAAGTTAATAGTGAACAAAATGGGGGAAAGAAATCCCTGGCCTTAAAATTTGGAGATGGGAGACAGATAATAAACAGAGGCAAAATATATACTATATAATAGATAGTGTCAAGTGCTATGGAGAAAAAGGAAAGAGTGCTAGAAAGAGAGGAAAGAAATCACAGTTTTAAATAGAGTGGTTAGTAAAGGTCCCCTGAGGAAATTGAGTTGAGATCTCAAAATATCAGATGAGGGAAGACTTGATTTATCCATTCTAGAAAATTAATTCATAAAACCCATATTGAGTTTTGAAGGCTTTACTAAACCTAGTGTATTTGTCTCAACACTTGAAGATGACCAGAGAAGGCTGCTGTTTTCCTTCATGTCGAGTGTGAAAGGTTAAAGCTGTAATGACAGCCTTTCTGAGGTGGTGTATCTGCTCAGTTCTTCAGTGGATCTAAGACTATACTTTCGATCTGCTGTCTGTATTATTGCTTTTTCAATTTAGCTGCTGCAGGGGAATTGTTCTTCAAGATGTCTAGGTTTTTAAAATTTTATTTTAGGATTTCACAGTGAACAGTATACATTTAGATAGGGAGGGCTGCAGAAGCGAAAGAATCATTTGAGAATAAAATTATAGTAGAATAAATAGGATTCAGTAAAAGTCATTTTTATCTCTGTATTTTACATACATGTCTGGGTACAGGGATAATTTAGGATAAAAATCTGTAAGCATGGAACTAATTCAGAATTATCATTTCTACTTATATTTCTTTTGTCAGCTACATTCAGTTTTGTTTAATAATAGACTTCCTTAACTAATTCTTCTAAACTGTTTTATGTTTAGAGACATTAAGATTAGATCTTTAGGTAAGGATAATAGCAAGGATCTGTAAAAGGTCAAAAAATTATTACTTCATTCTTTTTAGTCTAGTTGGTGTGTTGTTTACCTTAAATCAAATTGTAGCTTTTTTGTTGTTTGTTGTCACAGTAGTGCATCCTTTTGGAAGCATCTAACACCCATAGAGGTTACTAAGCAAAAAGCAAAGCCATGTTCTTTTTCACTTCTTAAAAGGTCTGTGGTACTTTGTTTTGCTTGATTCAGTAGGACCAGGCTAACTTACTTGTTTCAGATCTCTCCTAGCTCTGTGTCCCTTTTATTTTGGCAAGATAATGAATGATAAATATGAGAGATGCCCTCTCAAAAAAAAAGATAATGAATGATACTTAATTACTTTGGGTCATTTTTCTTTTGATGTCTCATACTCTGTTGAAGAACTTCTACTATTCTTTAAGTATTTAGAGTTATTTTTCCAAAATTTTTTGAGTGCCTGCAAATGGAGTTGTTTTTACCTTCCCTCTGCTCCCTACCTTGATGGGAAAATCACCTTCAGCCTTCAATGAAAAATACTTTCCATTGTTCTCATTGGAAACTTTTTTCTCTTTTATCTCTTTTTAGTTGTTATGAGACCTGGTAAATATTATGTCTTAGAGATTGAGACTTTGCCCCTTTAATTTGTTTTGCATACATAAGAGAGTTTAAGGATAGCAAAAAGTACTTAATATTTAGTGATTTGATGATTCCTTGAGTAGTCTAATTATAATTAGTTTATCAATTAGTGTTCTTAGACTTTTGATTCATTTTACAGAAGAGTCTGCAGAGGAATCGATTGCTATCAGCATTGCACAAATGGAAAAACGTTTACTCCATGGCTTAATTCATAATGTTCTACCGTATGTTGGTACTTCTGTAAAAACTTTAGTATTAGCATACAGCTCTGCAGTTTCCAGCAAAATGGTATGTATAATTAGCACTAGTTTGGGTATTAAGAAAAAGCAGCAGTCATCTAAATTTGGTTTGCTTATTCCTGAGTTTAGATTAAGGAAAAAACCCAATTTATCCATGAGAGCACCTTTCCATGGGTAGGCATATACTGCTAACTTTCATGTTATTTCATTTCAATTCTCATAGAAGTGTTCGTACATATATATCATTGTCTAAACATAGAAAAAGAAGCAGAAACTAGGAGAGGTTAAATAATTTATTCAATTTCACAGATATTAAGTGATGAAGCCTAGTTTTATATGATTCTTTTTAATATGTAAGGTGTGCTAAAATGGGCAAGTGAAATTAAATCACTGTTTTATATAAGTGTATCTTGTGATATCTACCTCAAAATCTCTGTGGGTATTTCTTAAAAATGTAAAATGCCTGAGTTTGTTCTCATAATTACTAAAATTGATTCTGTGGGGTTTAAGCTCAGAATATGTTTGTAATGCAGTTGAAATAATTTTTACATGCACAAAGGTTTGAGAACCACTGGATTATATTGCTTACTAAAACTTACCTGTCTCTTACTTTAATTAAAAGTCTTCATATAGTTACAGTGAGTTTTTTCCCCCTCTTAGGTTAGGCAGATTTTAGAGCTTTGTCCTAACCTGGAGCATCTGGATCTTACCCAGACCGACATTTCAGATTCTGCATTTGACAGGTTAGTTATTTTTTTCAATGTTTAAAAATAATGATTTCTTACTAGGATTCACTAGAATTATTCTCTGCTTTCTCATTTGCTTAACTGCAGTTTAATCACACTATTATTTTTTGCTATCAAATCTTATTACATGTGGCTGTGCTTGACAGCACCCTCCAGTTTTTTGCCTCTTGTTCATAAGTCCCAGCTGATCCAAAACCTCAGTCTTTGGCATCCTGTTATCTTTATAATTCTGCACTGAGTCTAGGCCTTTGAGTTTTGCTGTGCAGCCATGTAGATTGGAACTATATGTTTTTAAGAAGGTTCCAATTTCAGCGGGGCTCCAAGGGTTATTTGGCAGAGCTCCCTCTTATGTTCATCATCATCTGAAATTGTAGTACGTTCTTGAAGCTACAGTCTTCACAAATTTTATTTCCTTGGACGCTACTGCTTCCTACTCTGCTTCACCCTCCTCTTTCCCGCCCCAGCATTTGTATCAGCACCTCTCTACCCATTTCAGAGGGAGAGGTGTACTCTTCTCAGCCTGAGGGTAATTCTGTACCAATCTTTAGAGCTTGTTTCTTCTGCGTCTACCTCAATCACTCGTTATTTTCTTTCTTTCATGTGTGTATAGCCTTTCCTCTACTGGTTACTTTTCAGGATAATAAACTCTCACCTTTCCATACCGTCTCCTTTCCTACCTTTCTGTTAGGTTAGCAACACTCTTAGTTCCTTCCTAATTATTCTTACTGTCTTTTCATATCTCTAGCATCTAAAATAGTTCCTGACAATATTCAGTAAGATCTTTGATTATATTAGATTTAAACTCTTCTAGTTTCTATCTGCTTTATAGTCAAAATCTTTTGAAGAATTTAAGAATATCCACTAGTAGTGTTTTTTTTACCTCTTAATTTCAGTTGGTCTTGGCTTGGCTGCTGTCAGAGTCTTCGGCATCTTGATCTTTCTGGATGTGAAAAAATTACAGATGTGTCTCTAGAGAAGATTTCTAGAGCTCTTGGAATTCTGACATCTCATCAGAGTGGCCTTTTGAAAGCTTCTACAAGTAGAATTCCTTCAACTACATGGAAAAATAAAGACATTACCGTGCAGTCCCCCAAGCAGTATGCTTGTTTGCACGATTTAACTAACAAGGACGTTAGAGAAGAAATGGATAATGAACACCCCTGGACTAAGCCTGTTTCTTCTGAAAATTTCACTTCTCCGTATGTGTGGATGTTAGATGCCGAAGATTTGGCCGATATTGAAGATGCTGTGGAATGGAGACATAGAAATGTTGAAAATCTCTGTGTAATGGAAACAGCATCCAACTTTAGTTGTTCCTCCTCTGGTTGTTACAGTAAGGATATTGTCGGACTAAGGACTACTCTCTGTTGGCAGCAGCATTGTGCTTCTCCGGCCTTTGCATATTGTGGTCATTCATTTTGTTGTACAGGAACAGCTCTAAGAACTATGTCAGCACTCCCAGAGTCTTCTGCATTGTGTAGAAAAGCATCAAGGACTAGAATTCATAGAGGCAAAGACTTAATATACTTCGGGAGTGAAAAATCTGATCAAGAGACTGGACGTTTACTCCTGTTTCTCAGTCTGTCTGGATGTTATCAGATCACAGACCATGGTCTCAGGTAAGTAATCAGTTGCAGGGTATTAGTTCGGTCATGTTCCCGTCTCAAGTAGAATATAAAATTTTGAGTCTAAGTCATTCGTTTCCACTGATTTATTTAATCAGAAGAGTTAGCCAGGATCTGTCCTGCTTCAGAGTGTTGGAACAATATGACTTCAGCATGACATTTCATTTTAGTTCAAATCCTTAGTGATTTGTGGAAGAACACAAATTTAAAAGTTTAATGAATACTTAGTAAATGCCTACAACACATTTTTAAGGTGCTTTAGTGGATGTAAAGATAAGTAAGGTACAGTTTTTACCCTCAAGGACTTGAAACGGGGAAGGAAATTTGCATACCGTATTCTGTTGCTGTGGATTATTTGTGTATGTTCTTTAAAAAAGGTTGAAGATTGATTCTATAGGGATCAAAGGAGAAAGACCTCTCATCCAATTGCACTAAACAGCCAAAAAATTTAATAAAGAGATGGCACTGAATTGAACCTTGGTGAAAGATGAAGGATTTTGATTAAGTGGCAGTGGGGGAAACCACCAGTCCAAGCAGTGGGGATCACTTGAGCACACAGTATAGCACTGTGTTATAGCCACCACTAGGTTATTGTTATGGCTGTTCTCAGCATTAGTTTTAATAATTGATTATCTTTGATATGTACTTTTGAAAATTGAGTATACTTTCTCTTTTACCCTGTAATAGACTTGAATTTTACTGGGTCTCTTTAATAATGGGGTGTCAGATATTTTAAACAATGAAAATTCATCCAGCATAAAGCCTAATATTCCCTCTTTCCTTTTAAGTATGATCTTTAGCAGATTAAATTGAACTCAGTGGGGGATGTTCAGAGGAGACTTGGTTTTCCAGTTTGGTTCTATTAAAGGAAATGTATTGGACAGTTTGGTTCTATTAAAGGAAATGATACAGATATGGATGATGTATCAATGGGAAGTATGAATGCCAACCAGAAAAATAGTATTTTTGAGTAGCCTTCTTCGTTGCTCTTTTTTTTAGAAAGCTGGGTCCTTTAAAAAAAAAAGCATTGTATAAAATATTTCAAATGTATCCCCATGTGGTTCAGTAGTTTCCTGAAGTGTTATTTGCAATTATAACACTTATAAATAAAATCCTATTTTAAATCTGTGGGGAAATTAGCTTACAGAAATCTTTGTAAAACCTTTTGGAAAGGAAGTAATTGTGTCCTAATTTATTGACAATACTAGAATTTGGTCTTCTAAAATTTTTAAGGGGTACAGAATGACACTACTCTTCTGTATTTAGAATTTTCTTTTTTGGCTTAAGATGAGTTGGGGTTTTATATTGGGGATTTTGGAAAATGTGGAAAAGCTTCTGTGCAAATAGTTTAGTGCTATTTTTACAGCTTTTACAAAAAGCAAAGCACTTGCTCAGCAGTATTGGAATTGAGTACCCAGAATTTAGAATTTTTGCTCTTTGATCATGATTTGCTTACTTATATTGCCTTCTTAAGTCTTAAAGAGAATATGTGAGAGAAGTTCTCTATTTTACTTTCTTGTTTGTGGAAGCATGATCTTTCGCAGACTAAATTGATCTCTTTTTACCTAGAACAAAGGAAGGATGGAGGTGAAACATTAGCCCAAAGAAGTAGTTCTTCCCAAGAGGGAGATTCTGCTGTATGCTTTATAGGACTCCTGTGGATCTCTGTTAGATTAGGAGTGTTCTTTGCACAGTGTTGGAGAAAATACTATGGGACCAGAGTTGGTGTGGGTTGATACTGTTTTTTTTCTGCATAACCGGCTTTGTCCAAAATACTTAACCTGAGGCTTACATAAAATGAATAGATGACACAGAGTAGGTTTTCAGTGAATGGTAACTGCAGTGCAGTAATTGTTTATCTTTGATATGAGTGAGCCTTTGGAGATTGATTACATTTTTTCTTTTGCCCTGTAATAGATTTGAATATTACTCAATCTCTTTAATAATGGGATGTCAGGTTTGTTATAATGAAAAACTCATCCTGCACAAAACCTGATATTCCCTATCACTAGATAAGAAATACTTTGTATGAGATTATTAAAAACATCCTTCGGAAGTCATGTACAATAACCAAAAGTGTTTTCCCCTGAGGTAGCTACTGACTGTGGTTTGGCTGCTGTACATTCCACTAATTTTCTGTTTATTCAAACCCAATGGCATATATTATAATTAAAACAATAAGAAGCAAAAAAACCATATTCTGGATTTTATTCCTTTTAAAAATCTTTATTGTATTTTTATATATGTATTCCTAACTCATACGGTTTTAGTTGTTTTTGAATGTAACTTGGTTTTAAAGTAGAAGGAATGTTTAGTTCAATTTAAAATCTAATGATTCATTTTCCAGTGTTATCTTTTCATGACCATTATACTTTATTAAAATTTATTTGTGGCTTTTTTCTGTTGTATTTTCAACATGACCAGTTTTATTGTTTGTTTAAAGAATAAAGTAACACATACACCCCTTTGTAATATTTCAGAATTGCAGTGATGTCTGATCAAGTGAGTTTTCCTATCTTCAGTTTTATCAGGGTATTTTTAAATAAGCCAGAACTAATTAAAAATTCTGGTCAAAATTTTGGTGAACCTAGTTAAGAGGTGTCTTCCATTTGTTTCCAGTGAAAAAGGATTTGGAAACTTCCCATGTAAGGCCTGAAAAATGCTATAAGGGGGGATAGTTGATATAAAAACAGGATTAAAAGATTTTATTTGAATACCAGAGTTTCTGTCCCCACTTCCCTCCAAGGCAGACTGTTAATTTTCTAAGTGAAATTTGAAGAAAAGCATGAAAGTCATTTTGAGGGAACTTCACAGTCTGATTTTGGCACTTGTTATTAAATTATGGTACTGTTAACCTTGAAATAACTAAGTGCGTAATTTACTGGTGTTGGGAGTGGAAATGTTACTTTTCTTCCTTATAGTTTTCACAGGTAGTGGTGAGGAGTGTGTATATGAGATATCCTTGAAAAAAAAAGAAGAGTTTGAGATATTGGGGATTAGGACTTCAACATATCTGTTTTTGGGGAAGAGGGGGGCACAACTCAAACCATAGCACCAAGGTGTTTTTCTTACTGTTTCTGTTCTTTTTTTCTCTTGGTACTTTGTTTTGACTAATCTGATTGTATGTTCAAGTCCACTAATCACTTCTACAATGTCTAATCACTGCTAATCTCATTCAGTATATTTTTTATTTGATATTATATTTCTCATCTCCGTTAAGTTCCTTTTTTTTTATTGAAATGTAGTTGATATACAACATTATATTGGCTTTGCGTATATAACATTTAGTGTACTTGTGCGCCCCCATATACATTTATATACACATATATAACTACATAATGATATATGTAAATATATAAAAACATACACAGAGATATTAAATTATATCCTTTTTTTCTGTTCCTCTGGTTATGTTCGTATTTCCTTTTAAATCCTGAATCATATTTAAAATATAAAGGCTGTTTTAAAGTCATTGTCTATGAATTCCATATTTATCATCTTTATTGGTCTGTTCCTTTTGACTAGTTTTTTCGCTTGGTTTTTTGAATATCTAGTAGGTTTTGATTATATACCAGATAATGTGAATTGTACCTTGTTGAATTCTGGATTTCATTCTATTTCTTTCAAGATTCCTACATTCAAGTCACACCCTGGTTTGTACTATTTCTGTATCTTGTATATATTTTTATAACTCTTTTTTTCATATTGCATGCATTGTACTTTGTTCTTGGCTCTTCTTACCTCTGTAGTTTATCTTTTTATCTTCCTTAAGTCTCTTACTTTTACTTACATCCTCACTTCTACCAAAAAAGACAACCAGATAAACAATATACTCACAGCTACCTTTTCTTTAGCCATACTCAGCTATTTCTCTTCCTCCAAGGTATCATATTTCTTATCTTTAGACATTTGTATTTGCTCTCTTTGTAACATGTATTTATTGGCTAACATTGTGTCTGTCATAGTCTAAATGTCACTTCTTACAGGGAAACCTTTTCAGATCCCTTCAAGGCCCTTCTGTATGTTCCCAGGAGAGTATTCATCATACAGTATTATAATTGCTAATTTACTTTTGCTTTGTTTGATTTTACACTACCCTCCTTTGGCCAGTGACTGCACAACTGGTTTATTATTCAAGTATACTTATAATACAAAGTTTTATATTCCATTCAGTCTGTCTTCAGTTACAACAAGCAGTCTCTTCACTGAGGTATCTTCTGAGATTTTTTCTACCACTTTTTGAAAGCTGATTTTTTATTACGAGCTATTCAACTTTACAGGAAAAGAATTAGTAAATTTTAAACTCTGTATTGTTTTTTTTTAAAGACTGCTGCCTCTAACTGTTGTGACCCAGTCAAACCACTGAGATGCTGAACTGCACCTGTTAGTTTATAGCTTATAGGGATGGATCACAGAAATCTAAGATTTATTTTCAGTCAAAATATAAGGGGAAGTAGGCATTTAAATCTCCTGGGGCTTGGGGTCTTGATAAACTGTTTTTAATAGATCAGTTTCCTCTTTTGAACATGTAGTTACAAAACTTTAATATGTGCCCTCTTAATCCTTGCCATTCAATATCCCTCACTGAATATATTAATATTTCCATAATTTCTTCTAATCCCAATTAATAGTTTACATACTTTTACCTAACCTTACTTTTTACTTTCCATAAATCTACATAATTATGTTAATTATTTTTATTGAATTTATTGTATTGTTAGAGGTAGACTTTCCAGTTTTCTTAATTTTTTACTGTTCTTAATACTGCTTTAAACATTGTATGGAAGATTGTTGTTTTGTTCTTGATATTTTTTGGCTCTGTCATTGTCATTTTAGCTAACTCTTCATTTTATCCTATTTATATAAGTGTTATAAATAGGGTATGCCATTAGGTTGTCATTTTTGAAATGTAATTCACAGACCATTAAATTCACCTTTTGAAAGTGTACAGATCAGTGGTTTTAATATATTTACAAGGTTGGTAACCATCACTCTTATCTAATTCAGAAACATTTTCATCACACCAAAAAGAAACCCTGTACTCATTAGTAGTGACTCCTCATTCCCCTTTGACCCCAGCCCCTGGCAACCACTGATTTGCTTTCTGCCTTTGTGCCTATTTTGAACATTTCATGTGAATGAAATTATATAACATATGTCCTTTTGTGTCTGGCTTTTTTTCACTTAGCATGAAGTTTTCAAGGTTTATCCATGTGGTAGCATGTATCAGTACTTTATGGCTATGTAATATTTGTTTATCCATTTATTAATTAATGGATTTGGATTTTTTCCACTTTTTGGCTATTATGAATAACTCTGCTGTGAACATTCATTTGCAAGTCTTTGTGTGAGGATGTGTTTTCAGTTACCTTGGGTATAACCCTAGAAGAAGAGTTGTTTGATCATTTGCTAACTCAGTCTTTGAGGAATTGCCAAACTGGTCAGAATTTTCTTGGTAATTTTCACTTAGCCTGGTGGGGGAATGAATATTACAGTTCCAGGATTCAGCACTTCTTTCCTCTAAGAATTGAGTTACCCTAATGTTCTTATAAAGAAAAATTTCATAGACTTGTTGATTGAATATTTTTAGGAAAAATGTAGAAAAATTTCTCTGTTAAATGTATTCCTGCCAAAAGATGAGATTAATTGTCCTGTGTTATAGAAATTATTAAGTTTTCTTATTACAAAATTGCAAGTTCTGTTCATAGTGATCTAGTGGGCCATAGGAATACATAAGTTTTCATAGATTAATATATTTTAATTGTTGAATTGCTTCTCTTGCAGGGTTTTGACTCTGGGAGGAGGGCTGCCTTATTTGGAGCACCTTAATCTCTCTGGTTGTCTTACTGTAACTGGTGAAGGCCTGCAGGATTTGGTTTCAGCATGTCCTTCCCTAAATGATGAATACTTTTACTACTGTGACAACATTAACGGTAATGTCTTTTAGCAGTGAGATAATTTTGAAGGAATTGATTTAAAATTTTCTAACAGTTCTGGGTTTCTATTTACTTTGCTCGATTTCTAATTACCAAACTTTTTTACTTTCAGATTTAGTCCTTTACATATGATAAAATAAATCACAAAATAAATAAAATAAATCATTATTAGCTTCTAAAAGGTAAGTTTTTCTTGTGGATAGGTACTTCAGATACCCATTCTTCCAGATTTTTGAGATATGTAATAGTTTTGTCATTCCAAAAAGGCAAGCTGTGGAAATACTAACATTCCTATAAAATTTTGGGAAAATGTAGCACTCATTCACAGTTTGGAGGCATTGATGTTCTAGGTACAGCAACTTCTTAGGGATGATTGATTTAGTTTTCTTGTAGGACAACTTTATAAATTGCAGTAGAAAAATGAGGATATTGGTAATTTGAACTCCTCAGGGATCTGGGATATGGTTCCAAATAAATCTTCATGGAAGTTTGAGGAGTGGGGTGTATGTGGTATTGGGAAAGAGTCTGGGGTGCTTTTTAGACATGATGAGAATTCCCACAGTATTTTGGAGGTTGATTCCTAAACCTGCTTTTAACAATCATCAGATAAATATTTCTTGATTTTTTTGTTTTGTTTTGTTTTTTAAGCCTATTCTTAACCCTGCAATGGACCTGTTGAATATATTTTTTCTGTACCCTTTTGGCATTTGATAGTCACTGGTAGACACTAAAGTTCCCAGAAGCATAAAAATTTGCTTATTAGTAAGCAAATTAACCTCCTTCCTGTATTTATAACTGGAAAAGAACTTACATGGGTCAGGTTCTGTGCCCCTGACTTTTTACATTGTATACTATTGTCTTTGAGAACTGAATATATCTTAAGATGACAGGAAGATCAGCTGAGTTTCTCTCTGGCTGAATAATTGACAGGAGCCAGGAGGACTAGAGGAGAGGTCTCCTTTAATGACAGGCCAGCAGCAGAAAAGCCAGCAAATCTGCTCTTTCTGGGAGATTAGATTTTCCTTAAACATAAAACATCTATGAAGAGACGAGATCACAGCTCTCTTATTTCTGAAATCACATTGGTGATGAAGGAGATGACCTCCCCAGTTTCTTGAAATAGTGATACTAGGTGGGAGCATTTCTTTGCTCTCTGTTGCTTTCAGCATATAATCAATGAATGGTGAAAATAAATGTCATTTTAGTTAAAACCTGCTAAGGGTGCAAAACTAAAGTGTGATTGATGCAGTGAAGCACTAGCTGCTTCTGCAGATGCAGAGAGTTTGAGAAGGGAGTTTTTTTTTTTAATGTACAGTTACGTCATTGTAGGTTCAGTGTTGTACTACCCTAAGGCTTATAGGACATAATAAGAAGTAATCAGTAAGCAATTATTTCTGTAAGGAAAACATTTAAACATTGAACTTGCATTGTCCACATGGATTTCAGCATAGGGTATGGTTGTGGGAATAAATCTCACAACCTAATTCATCGTATTTATTTTTGGGTATATAGATGTAACGGGGTGGTGGAAATTGGGTCTCAGTTCATTTTTATGATCTGTCTACTTGTTCTGTGTTTGTTATTTTTAAAACATCTTGAAATAATTTATATAATGAGAGAATTAAATATCTAAAATCTTTTGTACTTTGTTAGGATGTCAGAATTCCTTTCATCTTAGCTGGTTTTGAATATATAAACATTAAAGTATTCCAAAGGAGCTGCTACATTCTTTTTGTTGAATGTAAGATTTTTTTTGATAAGTAAATGGTAGTTTTCAATAAATGACTGTTAATGAAGATATCTGGAAGATTTGAAAGGAAATTGACAGTGCTTGTATAATCCAGTATTAAGTCTCTTTTTACAGCTTCTTAAAACATGATTTGGGGGAAAATGGAAATTCTTTAAACTTCACAGGGTGACTTGTGATATTAACTTGTGTTCCGGAGTTCCAGCTAGTTGCTCTTAAAGCAATGCTCTGATTATAACCTCTTCCTTAAAAGGACTATGGACAACTAGAAAAGTGTTAGAATAAGGCTGCAGTGTATCCCGTTTTGCAAGATGACAGGATTGATCCAGTGTCTACACTATACTACACTACACCTCAGCTTTTAAAGTAAATGTTCGGTGGCTGCTTAGGGGGCTCCCTTTCTATTATTATTAATTTTTATTAATTCTGAAAGTAGTTAATATGTTTTATGCATGGTCTTAAAATAATAGCATAGTTAGGTGGCACATTATATTTTAAATATTTGACAGTAAGAGTTAACTAAAAATGTATTTTGTCAAAGAAAGTTTCTATAGTTAACTACCAGATTACTAACTAAAAGAAGTAAATACTGATAAACAATATTCATAAACTGAATAACAAGAGATAAGTATAGCAGAGTGGTGTGTTTCCCAAGCACTACCAGAAATTTTGGAGAAGATAAATTAGTATCAGACATTTAGACAAGATCTACTGTGAGCAAGATACTGTACTGATATAAAATGCCATTTTTGATTCTTCTGAATGATTCTTCATGACATTTAAATAATTATATTTTAAATATTTGACAGTAAGAGTTAACTAAAAATGTATTTTGTCAAAGAAAGTTTCTATAGTTAACTACCAGATTACTAACTAAAAGAAGTAAATACTGATAAACAATATTCATAAACTGAATAACAAGAGATAAGTATAGCAGAGTGGTGTGTTTCCCAAGCACTACCAGAAATTTTGGAGAAGATAAATTAGTATCAGACATTTAGACAAGATCTACTGTGAGCAAGATACTGTACTGATATAAAATGCCATTTTTGATTCTTCTGAATGATTCTTCATGACATTTAAATTTGTTGATTGTTAAAGTTAAGATTAAATAAAAGAAATTTCTTAGCCATAACATTTAAAACAGTCTTTGTTATTTAAGAGGTGTTAAATGGAGTTGCATAGTTTTAGAGCTCTGAAGAACATTTGAACCATGATAGCAAGTAAACTTTTTGAACTGATTTGCATTTCATTATATATATGTAATTTGTGAATTAAGGTAGATTAGCTCATAGTTCTGGAGGTAAAACAGTTTGAGATGATTTGCTCTTTTATGTTTCTAATTTAAGTTAAAGAGGAATTAAAGGTAAGTGAAGGTAAGTGCAGATATACAAGCATAAGTAAAGTAACATGCTTAAAATCCAGGAAAAACCAATTAATAATAAAAATTTGAAAAATAACTGTAGCTATCTTAATAGCTCTTTTTATCTAATTTTTTAAAAAAATGCGTTCTTACAAAATTTATTTTTTACCATTTAAGATTTTATTTAATGATTATGCAAATTTTATTTTCCTATTTTCTTTACTATTCTTTAATGTAATTTAGCCTTCATGTGTGATAACCATTTGAGTTTTCTATCCTGTATAGACATTTGCTGGTGGTAAATAATTGAAGGAAACTACCTTTTGAATTTCATTGTCTACAGAAGCACATCTGTCTGTTGCTGGGCAGCTGCATCTGGGGAGATTTCTCCCTGCACACTAGGTGAAACCTCAACCCCGGGCGGGGGAGGCTTCTTGACTCTGATCAAGAATGAATTCTCAAACAGGTTGTATGAGTGTAGGTAAGGAAGGAATTCATGACAGCAAGAGTAGTAGCGAATGTCAGCCGGTGTGCAGGCAGCAGAGAGCAAGGAAGAGCACAGGGAGGAAAGGGAAGTTCCTACTCGGTATGAGGCAGATACCTTGCCAACTCCTAAAGCCAGGGTCACCTGGCCTCCAGTGTCCTCTTGAATCTGCACAGTGTGGGAACTAAGCCCCTATCACCCCAGGATCTGGGGGAGTCTCAGAGCACTGGATGGAGTGAGATTATGTTCTGAGAACTTCCCAAAGGCAAAGAAAGGAGATTTTGGGCAGGCTAGTAAAGAGCATGATTGTACAGCTGCATTCCTGTCTGGGTTACCCAGGCAACGGAAACTTGCAATCCCAAATCAGAGATCTCAGTAACCAACCCTTCCTGTGTGTGAAGACTTTTGCCAATGTCTAGAAGATTGAGTGAAATAGTGAAGTAACAAAGATGCTTACCACTGAAAGAGAACAAACACAAAACACAGTAAGTTGAACAGTCAGAAATCTTTATTTAAGGCGAAAAATAAATACTCAAAGAAAGGGGAGTGCAGGCAACCTCAGAGAGGAGGTGCACATAATAAGGGCTTAGGATTCGATCTTTTAAGGGTTTCAAGAATGGGGCAAAGGGCGGGGCAGGGTCCCTGGCATAGGCTTGACAAGTGGTCTCATTATGTTTCCCTCCGGTGAAAGATGTCATGTCACCACCCAGTCAGTCCTCTAGATAATTCTGTAAAATAAACTTAACACAAGGAATTTATTGATTCTGTTCTACTCCAGAGTTAGTGGTTACCCTCCAGTAGTGAGGATGTATCATTAGGACTACTTCCCGGCTTTAAGATAGGGTCGGTCATTAGCTGATTACCAAAGAGTATGTTAGGAATCTTGCCTTCTAAGTCCCTGGTTTTTCATATGAAATCTTAGCCTTTAGATGGAGTCCTTCCTGTTCTTACTAAACTGTTTATATCTTTGCACTTTTCATCATAGGCAGAAAAAGTCCATCATGATGCTTGTCCCATGTCCCTGCCCTACCTCATGTCTGCTTGAGATACTTGGCAGTATAGTCCTATTTCTTTCCTAATGCTGCCTTGCTTTTTCTGTTGTCCATTTATTCCTTAACAGTCCTTCTGTGCCTAAGGGTCTTATGTTAACATTGCTTCTGATTTTCATGTTTTGGAAATTGTTCTCCTGTTTTGTACAATATGAGACTAAGTTAAAAGCAGGGTTGTCTTTACTTTTGCTTTGCTTCAGGCCTTCAGAATAAAATCTTCCCCATGGATGACATCATTTTGATGGATTATTAGGATCAGACACTGTCATTGACCTTATGATGGGATTGTAGTTTTGAGGTAGTATTATAGTTACTGTTTAAGAACCCATAAGCTTCTCTATGTAGATTCTGCTTTCAAATTTGGAACACTGATAAGTTCCTTCTCTTTATACTGAAGCTTAAATATTCTAATGTATATTTGAGGGAGGGGGCACATTCTATGTCAGTGTGAGCGAGAACTTCTTTTTGTGATGGCTAACGATGTACTGCTAGCAGAATTGGGTTACTTCTGCCTAATAGAGGGCACATGTTTGTATTACTGTATTTTTCTTCCTCTGTAATTCCCAATTCCTACTACCATCCCTTAGATTTTGGGAACAAAGAGTGACCCATGTGGCCAAGGTGGGCCTGAGGATGCTGGGCCCTTGTCTTTTGCAGAGGATGATGGAAAATTGCGTAGTATTTGGAAAAATGTGAATCTCTAGAATAGCATCCTTGATCCACTTGGCTCTTTGAGGATTCCTTTTAGTTTCTCCCTTGAAAACTAGTACCATACTTTACTTTCATTGCTTTCAGACACTGCTTATGACTTTTTCCCAGGCCACTGTTGAGTTCAGTGTAAAGTTTCTTCCTTACCTGTTTTTAAAAATATAGGAATATAGTCATTTTGAAATATGTATTTTTTTTAGTCTGGAAAATTGTACAAAAGTCTCTATTTCTCTTTCTTCTTAGTTTGTCCTTTAAAAAAATTAGAATAGAATTACATACTGAGAAAATTATAGATACGTCTTTGGAAAAATAATTAGTTCAGGCATTTCATCCCAGAAAGTCAGGGCAGGGTAATGGTAGTAAGGCAGATGATTGGGTCTTGAAGGTGCTAAGTGATTGGCTGGCAAAGCAGTGACCTGCTGTGTGTAAGGGGTGAGGAAAGACAAGCTAAGAAGGGGCAGTGTGGAGGGTTGGGTGATGCTTATAGTAAAGCTGAAAATACGTTCAAAGAGAAAACCTGGGCAAAGGTTAACGGTAGGAGAAGAGTTTCAAACCATAGGATTTCTTATCAGGGCTTTTCTAATATCTGATAATTTGCACTAAGATATTGTATTTTGACTTTGGTTAAGATGACTAACCTTGTTATCTTATTTTAAGGGAAAATAATCTTAACAAAAATGCTACTTTGTGATTTGATGTTCAACTTTTTTCTTTTTTAAAAATAGAACAGATTTTAATTTTGATTAAATAATGGGCTTTTGGTAATTCAATTGCATATTTGAAATTTTACACTTTATTATGGAAAATTCCAAACATATAGAATGATCGAGTGAATCCTCATGTGTTACCAGCTTCAGTAGTTAGAACCTTTGACGAATGCTCTTTCAAATATTATTGCCCATTCTCTTACCTGCCCCCCATATTCCAGTTAAACATAAGTAAAGTTAAATGTAAGTATTTGAAAATAAATGAAACCATAAGCTATTATGGTTTTGTATATGCTTGTAAAGTTCATTAGCTTCTTTTCTTTATTACTTACATAGTGAAACATATGAACATTATACTTTGTTGACTGTATATCCTAAGAAATTTGTCCTTTGTATTTCATATATGCCATTTCAGGAATACAAGGAAATGTTAAATGATGGGAAGAAGTGTCCTGTGTGTTCAATAGCGAGTAGTTACTATTAGCATTATTGCCTTCTTTGGATTATGAGTTGTTACTTTAATGAATTGCTACTTTAAAAAACAAAGCTAATGTAAAAAATGTTTCTGAATTAACCTAGATATCACTTCAGAGTACTAAGATTTTTCAGTCATAACTCATTTCATATATTTTTTAATATGATCCTTACATATCAAAATGGCAAGTATTTTGGTTTTGAGTAAATAATTAAGTGCTCTTTATTTGCTCATGGTGCAGACATATGGAAGCTTCATTATGGCTTAAACATTCTTCTCCACATTTGCCTGCCTTTATGAAAACTGAATATGATTCATTTAGAGTACTTAACATTTGAATATGTGCCATAATATTTCTTCCTTGACATTTTCTAATTCTCAGCTATGTTCCCTAATGGATCTTTTATCTAGTGTCTGGGTAGCATAATGTGACTGGGATAAAATGTCACTTATTCCACAAGTGTTCTATTACCTTTCTTTGTAATTGAATCACAATTTTTATTAAGTCTTTGATGTGTTCATTCAGTTAATCACTTATTATATACTTAACTCTGGAAGATAATTTTACCTAACCCTATCTGATTTATTTTGGCTATAGATGTTGAACAAACATATAGCAAACATGTTAAGTCTATATATATTTACATAGTTTATTTTTTAGGTCTATATAGTTTTTTAAAAATTTTGAATGTTTATTGTAATTGCTCAATACTGGATTCTTTAGCTGATCTTTTTACAGATAAGGCTCTTTTGCCTTCTATTTCTGGAAAGGATGTTCAAAATAAGAAATCTGTTAAGTTAGCTATGGCAGTCGTCCTTTTGTGGATTATCTCCTTTTCTTCTTAGATTTTTATTTTGTAAGATGGGTGCCAAAAATTACTACTTTCCCTTCTTTTGTTTAGCTTTTGGACCATAAGGATATATTCATTAAAGTCAAGCTGCTATGGGCAGTTTTTGTGTCTGAATAATTTCTTATACACTCATTGTGAGATTTACTTATATGCTAACATGTATTGCTATTAAAAAAAAGTCAATGTATCAGCTCTTTCATAAACAAGATTATTATTATGTGATCTCTAGGAAATTCCTCCTTTCACACTTCTCTGTTTTTATACAGGTCCTCATGCTGATACCGCCAGCGGATGCCAGAATTTGCAGTGTGGTTTTCGAGCCTGCTGCCGCTCTGGCGAATGACCCTTGACTTCTGACCTTTGTCTACTTCATTTAGCTGAGCAGGCTTCCTTTCATGCACTTTACTTACAGCACATTTCTTGTGTTAACCATCCCTTTTTGAGTGACTTGTTTTGGCCCCATTACTTACTACAGCCTCAAATTTTAACTTACCAGTGAATTGTACAGTGTTGTTTCTCTTGAAAATCACATTTTTGTTTTAGAAAGGGGATTAGTTCTTTTCACAAGTGTAAGAACAGCTTTATCCGATTTCTTTTAAATTGAATGCCTTGAAAAGAATGTTACTAATGCCATGCCATTTAAAGTATTTTCTTGATTGTTTTGAGTTTTAAAGTCAATGGGGGTTATTGGTTTTCTCTATATAAACACTGTACCAAGCTTTGCAGATCATTTCAAACATAAATTTCTAAAGTTTTATTTTCAAAAACTGCACATTTAGACACTAGTCTCTTTTCCATAATGTTTCCTTTATTTGAACAATTCTCAGAGGGCCAATTCAAACATACACATATAAGATTCTTTGAAATTATAAATTGGCTTCTTGCTGTTAGCTCACTGAGCTAGCAAAGCACCAGTGTATTTATATTTGCCTTCTTTAAAGACCACCGCTGGTTCTTACCACTGTCCCTAAATTGTCAAGTTTGGGAGGGATTTTTTAAAATTCCGCAATCATTTGAAGAAGTGTATAAATAAAATCTACTTTGAGGACTTTACCAAGTAATTTCTTCTGTGTTGTGATTTTATTATAATCTGAGTGCAGGTTTACTGTTTTGTAAAATAGAATTAAATCTTTTGTCTTTTGAGTTTTTCCATGAAATCGTGACCCTGACCAACAGTTTTAGACAGATAACTAATTTTATTGAGCTGAATTGTCTTTTTGAAGTTAATTATACAGTATTCAAAATATTTGAATTTGTAACCCTCATTGCTGTGTGAAAAGATAATAGGAGTGGGGACTTAGTATTCAGAAAGGCACATACTGAATCAGTTTTATGTAATACTGTATGTCATTTTATGTTATGAAGAAGAAAATAGTACATGGCATGCCATCTATTTTTAGAAAAGATGTAAGGCTCTGGGAGAGGGGGTAATTTTACATTATTATTACCCAAGTATTTTGTTTTATGGAGTAGTAGGTGAAAGAAAGATAATAGAGGTAGACAGATTTCAGTTCAGGCTAAGAGAAAACTTTTAGACCGAGTTGTCTGAAGATGAAGGAAGACTCATTTGATAGGAATATAAGTTAGGAGAATTCACTTGTGCTTTTAAGTTTCACTAACATTTTAATGAAACACTCAAAGGGAAGATCAGCTCTAAAGGTATCAAATGACTGAAATTTCACCTTCCTTGTATGTAGGACAGGGCATCTGTATAAGGAGACGGTCTTCCCTTTTGTGATTCTGCCTTACGCTCAGGCAGTTCTGTCTAGGGGCACTGCTACATTTGGGCTCCTCCTTGGAAGTGTGGCCTAAGCACGAAGTAAAAATGTTGATTCCCTTAGAGAATGTGAAAAGAAATCTGAGCTTAGTAAGTAGTTACAGGGTCAGAAGTTTATTCTATAAGGTTGACTTTTGTAGTTTCCCAAGTGTTTTTTAATTTGAAAAGTTCACATCAGCGACCGTTTCAAATTCTTCTGCAGTGAGTCCCATCCAACTCCATACTTGATCGTACCTGTGTCTACATGAACTGCATCGTAGAATTACTCATATAAAACCATGGCTCAGTCAGGAAGGGAGGACTAAAGTTTATCCCCCATGTAATCAGAAAACAGTATATTTTGGGGGAAATTTTTTGTTAATTATGGAAAAAAGTCATTAATGATGTTTTAGTACTTTAACTGTTATCCTTTTAAATCATTTAACTTGAGCAGCTGTTTCCCCCAGGGGTTCCAGGTAATTGAGGTGTCTATTACCTATAGGGACTTTGTCCTATGCTGCTTGATGTCAGCAAACCATTAAATAGGACTTGGCAGTAATCCTGAACCAAACTGACTTCAGTATGTTGGCACATTGTTAGATGGAAACTCAGTGTTTACTATCTTCCTTACCCCCCCCCAATTGTATGGGGAGATGCATAATCTGCATTTAATTTTTATACAGTATTGCTGCTGCTTTACTAACTGAAGGGGAGTATTTAATGAAACACTATTATACTTGTTTTAAATTTATCTGTGATTTTGTGATTGATTTGATGAATTATTGAAACTGTTCATTGTTAGAATAAGAGGGAACAGTTATATAAAATGCTTTTGGTGCCTGACAAACATCAGATGTTAAGTGCCGGGCAGTGTCTAAATACTTTGTATATACTAACTGACTTAGTCATTACAGCAATACAAGGACATAGGTAATGTGATTATGCCTGTCTTGTCTAAGGGGAAAATAAGTAACAGGTTAAGTAACTTGTCCATCGATTACCCAGCTATTTAGTGTGAGAACTGGGATTTCTCTAGTTTATGCTCTTAACCACTGTGCTGTCCTATCTGTATGTTGTTACACTGGTGATGACTGTCATGAGTTAGTCCTTGAACTCTCCCTAGAAGAGCTCATAGGAGAGGTATCAGAGGTATGTATACATATAATAGTAGTATAATCTGATAGAGGAAGGCTTAAGGGAATAAAGCAAAAGGTGGAAGTGAAGTCTTCCTTAATTTGGTCCCTTTGTGTTTTGTTTTTAAGTGAGATCATATTCCAGTTGTGTCTGGTTCTCAACTGGAGACAATTTATTCATAAGAGGACATTAGGAAACATCTGGAAATATTTTTGGTTGTCACTGGCATCGAGTGGGTGGAGGCCAGGGATGCTGCTAAACATCCCAGAACACATGGGACAGCCTCACTGAGAACAAAGAATTACTTGCCCCAAAATGTCATTAGTGCTGCTGTGAGAAATCCTGCCTAATGTATTTGTATTCTGTGGACATTTTTCCATGTTAGCACATTTTTTAATCCTTTTTAATGGTTTAGTGTAGTATTACGTGATTTTGTTTGTCTTACTTTGGGCTGCTATAACAGAATACCATAGATTGGGGGGCTTGACAGTTTTTTCCCACAGTCCTGGAGGCTGGGAGTTCTAGGATCAGGGTGCTGAGGTCTGGTTTCTGGTCAGGGCTCTTTCTGGTTGCAGACAGCCTCTTCTCCTTTTATCCACACATGGTCTAGAGAGGAGGCAAGCCTGCTCCTGCCTCTGCCTCCCAAAGGCCCTATCTCCAAACACCATTATATAGGGTATCAGGGTTTCAAGATACAAATTCTGGGGAACACAAACATTCAATCCATTACAGTGTCTTGATTTTTTAAGGTGCTTCCCTTCTGATAAATATTTAAATATATTCCCTTTTCCCCTAAAATACTATATTGCTCAATGGGTGTATGTTTATATATGCAAATGTGTTTACATGTGTCTGTTCAGTGTTTCTGCAGGATAAAATCTTAGGTATTCAGCATTAAAAATTGAAATAATATTTTGTAAAATTGTTCCCCCTTATCCCAGAAAGTTTGTGGTGTTTTTCTGGTCTTAAAAGTGTGATTAATTTTCTGCACAGGCAAAGATGGGCATTCCAAGCAGAAGATGAGCAAGGACAGAAGCACAGAAATAGGAGACTTAGTGTAAGGGGGAACCGTGGCAGTGTCAGTTGAATTCAGGGTCAGAATGGCAGAGACAAGGCAGACTACTCAATAAAAATACTTACTTTACACAGTTTGAAAATGATTATTTATTTGCAGATATTCTTTTCTTGTGATTAACATCACTTAAAAAAGTATTCTCACATCCTAATTACAGTTTTTACGTAATATAAAAAGTATACAAATAAAAAATTACCTGTTGCGTATAAGGGAGGCAACATAGATCCAAACAGACAAAACATTTTTGGGATATGGGTGGATATATACAGCTAAAGCAAATTCAACATTAGGAACATTAATATTATGTACTCCAGTGCTATATACAGCTTCGATTAAAGGCTTCAGTTCAGAATAGGGCATGTGAAGGAGAAATCCAGAGAACTGAAGGAGAAAAAAAAAAAAAAAGATTTGTAGGCATCAGTGACACCTGAAGTTTTCACTGTATTTTTTCTCTATAAATGTATGCAACCCTTAATATTTTTAATAAGTTCTGCATCTTGAAGTCATTGTTTTTCTGTTGAGCTATATATAGCAATACAGAAAATGGAGAAGGGGCTAAGTGTCTTCTTAGTGGCTAACATGTCGACCTAGTGTTACTAGATACCTGTTAGTCACTCAGCCACCCACCACTATTCCCTCTTCTGCTAGCCCCTGATTTGCAGAGTAACTCATGTAATTCCAGGGACCTAGATTTAAGCTAATCAACACATTCTATCCCCCTGGCCACACTGACTGATATACAGGGATGGCTGTGTGATCCAAGTGAGTTTCAGGAAGTCTGCTAGGAATAAAGGTGTGCAGATGCTTTGTCCTGCTTTGGACAATGTGTATCCTGGCTTGAGTCCTGCCTGGAACTCTTCCAGCCATTTGCTGCCATGAAAAAAGCCAGTCTGAGAATGATGCCATCACAGGTAGGAGAGCAGAGTGGGAAGACTTGGAGATAAGTGATACAGTCCTGATATCTACACACCTCCTACATAAGCCAATACATTCTTTTTATTGCTCAGCCTATTTGAACCAAGTTTTCTGTTACTTGGAAACATCCTGGCTGGAAAATGAAAACCTGGTCTTAGAAGGTAAAGGGTAACTCAGCCAGTGACCAGAATTAAATGTCCATCCTGACTTCACACTGTTCAGCCAACAAGGTTTACTGCCTTAGTCTGAAACTGCTTTCTTGGTTTTATTATTCACCTGTGGGATGTGAACACACCATTAGCAGGCAGTAGATAGGATATACTGTCTTAGAATTTTTCTTAGCAGTGAAAAGCAATAACTATAAAATACCTTTGAAAAACTTGATGGAGTGATTGCTTTCACCTTCATGCACTTGAGTCTAAAATGATGTGCCAGATGTTTTCATTTAATATAATACTCATGCAATGTATTTTATAAAAGGTATTTTTTATAGGATCCTTTTATAAGAAATGGTATTTTCATTTTATAGATGCATTTTACTATTTAATGACAGGTTAATTTTTTTTACACTGGAATTTGTTCTTTTTTTTATTAAGTTATCATTGATACACCATCTCATGAAGGTTTCAAATGAGCAACATTGTGGTTACAACATTCACCCATATTATCACGACCCCCACACCTGATAACAGTCACTGTTCATAAGCGTAGTAAGATGCTATAGAGTTACTACTTGTCTTCTCTGTGCTATACTGCCTTCCCTGTGACCCGCCTGCATTATTTGCGCTAGTCATAATGACCCTTAATTGCCTTCTCCCTCCCCAACTACCCTCCTTAACCCCTTCCCTTTGGTAATCCCTAGTCCCTTATTGGAGTCTGAGGGTCTGCTGCTGTTTTGTTCCTTAAGTTTTGCCTTGTTTTGCTCCATAAATGAGTGAAATCATTTGGTACTTGTCTTTATCTGCCCCTGGCTTATTTCACTGAGCATAATACCCTCCAGCTCCATCCATGTTGCTGCAAATGGTAGGATTTGCTTCTTATGGCTGAATAGTATTCCATTGCATATATGTACCACATCTTTATCCATTCATCTACTGATGGACACTTAGGTTGCCTCCATATTTTGGCTACTGTAAATAGTGCTGCAATAAACAGGGGTGCATATGTCTTTTTGAATCTAAGAACTTGTATTTGGATAAATTCCTAGGAGTGGAATTCATGGTTCAAATGATATTTCTATTTTTAGTTTTTTGAGGGACCCTCCATATTGCTTTCCACAAATGGTTGAACTGGTTGAACTAGTTTACATTCCCACCAGCAGTATAGGAGGGTTCTCCTTTTTCCACATCCTCACCAGCATTTGTTGTTCTTAGTCTTTTTTACGCTGGCCATCCTAACTGGTGTGAGGTAATATCTCATTGTGGTTTTAATTTGCATTTCCCTGATAATTAGTGATGTGGAGCATCTTTGCATGTACCTGTTGGCCATCTGAATGTCTTTGGAGAATTGTCTGTTCATATACTCTGCCCATTTTTTAATAGGGTTATTTGCTTTTTGGGTGTTGAGGTGTGTGAGTTCTTTATATATCTTGGATATTAACCCTTTGTCGGATATATCATTTACAAATATATTCTCCCATACTGTAGGATGCCTTTTTCTTCTCCTAATGGTGGTGTCCTTTGCTGTACAAAAGCTTTTTAGTTTGATGTAGTCCCATTTGTTCATTTTTGCTTCTGTTTCCCTTGCCCAAGGAGATACTCAGGAGATTTTTGCCTATGTTGTCTTCTAAGAGTTTATGGTTTCATGACCTACATTCAGGTCTTTGATCCATTTCGAGTTTACTTTTGTGTGTGGGGTTAAACAATAATCCAGTTTCATTCTCTTGCATGTAGCTGTCCAGTTTTGCCAACACCAGCTCTTGAAGAAGCTGTCATTTCCCCATTGTATGTTCATGGCTCCTTTATCACATTTTAATTGACCATATATGCTTGGGTTTATATCTGTGCTCTCTAGTCTATTCCATCAGTCTATGGGTCTGTTCTTTTGCCATTACCAAATTTTCTTGATTATTGTGGCTTTGTAGTAGAGCTTGAAGTCAGGGAGTGTAATCCTCCCCCACTTTATTTTTCCTTCTCAGGATAGCTTTGGCTACTCGGGGTCTTTTTTGGTTCATATGACTTTTAGAACTATTTGTTCTAGTTCATTGAAAAATGCTGTTGGTATTTTGATAAAGATTGCATTGGATTTGTAGATTGCTTTAGGCAAGATGGCTATTTTGACAATATTAATTCTTCCTATCCATGAGCATGGGATGTATTTCCATTTATTGGTGTTGTCTTTAATTTCTCTCATGAGTATCTTGTAGTTTTCAGGGCATAGGTCTTACATCTCCTTGGTTAGGTTTATTCCTAGGTATTTTATTCTTTTTGATGCAGTTATACATGGAATTGTTTTCCTGATTTCTCTTTCTTCTACTTCATCATTAGTGTACAGGAATGCAACAGATTTCTGTGTATTAATTTTGTATCCAGCAACTTTATTCAATTCAGTTATTCTAGTTGTTTTGGGGTGGATTCTTTAGGTTTTTTTTATGTACAATATCATGTCATCTGCAAATAGTGATAGTTTAACTTCTTCTTTACCAATCTGTATGCATTTATTTCTTTGTGTTGTCTGTTGCCATGGGTAGGACCTCCAGTACTATGTTGAATAAATGTGGGGGCAGTGGGCATCCTTGTCTTGTTTCCAATCTTAGAGGAAAAGCTTTTAGCTTTTCGCTGTTAAGTATGATGCTGGCTGTGAGTTTGTCGTATATGGCCTTTATTATGTTGGTACTTGCCCTGTATAGTTCTTTCTGGGGCAGTCTTGGAAGGCTGTATTTTTCTAGAAAGTGTTCCATTTCTTCTAGGTTATCCAGTTTGTTAGCATATAATTTTTCATAGAATTCTCTAATAAAAAATCTTTGTATTTCTGTGGTGTCTGTGGTGATTTTTTTTCTCACTTCTGAATCTGTTTATGTGTGTACACTCTCTTTTTCTTGGTAAGTCTGGCTAAAGGTTTATCTGTTTTGGTCTATTTTCTCAAAGAACCAGCTCCTGCTTTCATTGATTCTTTCTATTCTTTTATTCTTCTCAATTTTATTTATTTCTGCCTTGATCTTTATTATGTTCCTCCTTCTACTGATTTTAGGCCTCACTTGTTCTTCTTTTTCTGGTTTCATTAATTGTGAGTTTATAATGTTCACTTGGGATTGTTCTTTCTTGAGGGAAGCCTGTATTGCAATATACTTCCCTCTTAGCACATCCTTCGCTGCATCCCACAGATTTTTTGCGGTGTTGAGTTATTGTTTTCATTTGTCTCCATATATTGCTTGATCTCTGTTTTCATTTGGTTATGGTTCCAGTGATTATTTGGGAGAATGTTGCTAAGACTCCATGTGTTTGTGGGCTTTTTTGTTTTCTTTGGATAATTTATTTCTAGTTTCATACTTTTTTGGTCTGAGAAGCTGTTTGGTACCATTGCAATCCTTCTGAATTTACTGAGACTCTTTATGTGGCCTAGTATATGATCTATTCTTGAAAATGTTCATGTGTACTTGAGAAGAATGTGTATACTTATGCTTTTGGGTGGAGTGTTCTGTAGATGTTTGTTAGGTCCATCTGTTTAATGTGTTGTTCAGTGCCTCTGTCTGGTTGATCTGTCCTTTGGAGTAAGTGGTGTGTTGAAGTCTCCTAAAATGAAGCATTGCATTCTATTTCCTCCTTTAAATCTATTAGTATTTGTTTCACATATATAGGTGCTCCTATGTTGGGTGCCTAGATATTTATAGTGGTTATATCCTCTTGTTGGACTGACCCCTTTATTATTATGTAATGTCCTTTTTTGTCTCTTGTTACTTTCTTTGTTTTGAAGTCTACTTTTCTGATCTCAGTACTGTAGCTCCTGCTTTTTCCCACCTATTTTTTGTATGAAATATCTTTTTCCATCCCTTCACTTTCCATCTGTGTATGTTTTTGGGTTTGAAGTGAGTCTCTTGTAGGCAGCATATAGATGGGGCTTGTTTTTTTATCCACTCAGTAACTCTGTGTCTTTTGATTTGTGCATTCAGTCTGTTTACATTTAGGGTGATTATTGACAGATGTGTACTTATTGCCATTGCAGGCTTTAGATTCATGGTTACCAAAGGTTTAAGGATAGCTTCTTTACTGTCTAACAGTCTAACTTAACTCGTTAATATGCTATTTCAAACACAATCTAAAGGTTCTTTTTTTTCCCTCACTTCCTTTTCTTCTTCCTCCATTGTTTATATATTAGGTATATTCTGTACTCTTTGTGTATCCCTTGACTAACTTTGGGGAGTACTTTATTTAATTTTCCATTTGTTTAGTCATTAATTGGACTATTTCCTTTACTGTGGTCTTATTTTCTCTGGTGACCGCTATTCAGCCTTAGGAACACTTCCATCTCTAGCAGTTCCTCCAAAACACACTGTAGAGACTGTTTGTGGGAGGTAAATTCCCTCAGCTTTTGCTTATCTGGAAATTGTTTAATCCCTCCTTCAAATTTAAATGATAATCTTGCCAGGTAGAGTATTCTTGGTTTAATGCCCTTCTGTTTCATTGCATTAAATCATGCCATTCCTTTCTGGCCTGTAAGGTTTCTGCTGAGAAGTCTGATAGCCTGCTGGGTTTTCCTTTGTGATCATTTTTCTCATTCTTTTAATACTGTGTCCTTATCCTTGATTTTGCCACTTTAATTATTATATGTCTTGGAAACAGCCTTTCTTGGGTCCCTTGTGTTGGGAGATCTGTGCACCTCCATGGCCTGAGACACTATCTCCTTCCCCAGATTGGGGAAGTTTTCAGCAATTATCTCCTCAAAGACACTTCCTATCCCTTTTTATCTTTCTTCTTCTTCTGGTACCCCTGTAATGCAAAATAATGCAAATATTGTTTCATTTGGACTGGTCATACAGTTCTCTAAATATTCTTCATTCCTAGAGATCCTTTTTTATCTCTTTGCTTCAGATTCTTTGTATTCCTGTTCTCTAATTTCTATTTCATTTACTGTCTCCTCTACTTCATCTAAGCTGCTTTTAAATCCCTCCACTGCATGTTTCATTTTGGATACTGCCTATTTCAAAGTTGCTATTTCTTTCTTGAATTCCTCCCTGAGGTCTTGAATATTTTTCTCTAGCTCCCTGAGCATGTTCATGATTTTTATTTTGAAATCTTTATCAGGAATATTGGTGATTTCAGTTTCATTTAGCCCTCTTTCTGTGTTTGTGGGATTTTGGTTTGTACCAGGTTCTTTTGCCGTTTCATATTTGTAATGATTACTATGGAATAATAACTGTGTAGGCAGCACCCTCTAGTGCCCAGAAGCTCTACTCTCTGGACCTGCCCAGCACCTGGAGCGATAGTGGGTTCTCAGGCAAGTGGCACCTGTGCCTGTTGGGAGGAAAGAGCTCTTTTCTGCTTCCCAGTTGCAGTGCCTGCTTCACTGTTAGAGCCAGTGGGCCAAGCACACAGGGTGGAGCCTCTGCATTACGCCCCTGTAGCTGCTGTAAGTGGGGCCACCCTCTGGCTGATCTGGCACAATGGGGTGGGGGCAGCCTGTTTGTGAACTGATGCCGGCTGGGAGGAAGGAGCAGCTGGCTTTGTATTGCAGTGGGGGGCCTTGGTGCTGTGTTGCCAGCCAGGGAGATGGAGCGCGTGAAGCTCCTGAAAGTCCCAATCCGCTTGGCTGAGCGTGCCAGGACAATTTTGTTCACCTGTCCTTTTTCCTGATTATCAAGCTCTGTGTAATCCTTGTCCCTTTAGCAGCCCTCTTGCTGTTGGAAGTCTTTCAAAGTGCCCACATTTCTTTTGTCCCAGAGCAGCCTGTTGTGGGTACTTGTTCTCCACAGTGCCTGGAATCTCAGTCTTTTTGAGTATTCTGCCTGTCTTTGCTTTCCAACCCCACTGATTTCCAGAGCACCTTGTGATGTAGGTTCGTGCTCCTGGAGATCTCCCGTGCTGGGTGTTCAGCAGTCCTAGCTTCTACCTGCTTCCTGCTCTGTTTCTCTTCTCTCTGGTGAGCTGGGGTAGGGGAAGGGCTAGGGTCCCACTGGATTGCAGCTTTGCTACTTTACACTTTTTCATGAGGTCTTCTCTTTTCCCCAGATGTAGGCAGTCTGTCACAGTCTTCTTTCCGACCGCTCTTTCGCGATTAGTTGTGTTTGCTATATGTTTGTATTATATGTGGTTTTGGGAAGAGGTTTCTATTTCACTGCCATCTTCCCAGTCAGTCGATTCCTTGCAGGGGTTCAGGTGTGATTAGGAGGCACCAGGGCCTGTAGCCACTGTGCCTTGGGTGTTGGGATGATCTCACCCACCAAACTCTGCAAAGACCCAGTTCCCCACTGCTCCCAGAGGAGTGCTGTGGGTAAATAGTTTTAAGTCTAGGCTGTTGCTGCTTTGTACTTCGGTGAGCAATGTAGATATTTTGATTCCAAAAACCCATTACTGAGCAATTCCCAGTTAAAATGAAGCTCTTGGCCCAGCTTAGAGCCGTTTGTGCTTACCCTGTAGTCTCCCAGCTGCTTCAGCAGCTCTCTTCTGTGGTCATCTTCTACATCTTCTCCTTGGCTTCTTTCTAACAGAGGCAAGAAGTGACGTAGTGTGGAGGTACAGTACCTATTCCACCGAGTTAGATGGCGAGGCCTCCAGTCCATGATTTTTTCTTTTAGTATTTTTTCAATCCTGTTCAAAAAAAGTAAGTTCCATTATTTGCTGATTTGACTTTTTCTTTTGTAAGCAAAAGTATTATTTGTATATTGTGGGGATTCAGGTGGTTATCTGATCACATTGTTGGGGGAGTTGTCATTCACTAGGCATAGTTAGCACCCAATGTGGGCTAATCCTTGATGATTCGAAAATTAACATAGGTGATCTGTACCCTCAAGGATTGTGTATGGTTGGGATGTGGAATAGATCTATAAATAGAAGGAATATGATATCCTAAGGTCAGAACAGGTGCTTGCAGTGTAACACAAAAGGGAGCCCTGAACAGCTTGGGGGGTAGCCAAATTCAATACATTTAGCAAAAGCTTTTTCCATTATTGTGTTTTATCACTTTGTTCATTGGTAATGTATATACGGGCGGGTAAGTTAGACCCAGGCACAAGAGGGGGTTTATGTTGAAAGCTTTATATATTTGTAGGGCTACTAATGTTGCACAGTGATTCTTCCTCCCATGACTGTTCATGAGGATTATCCTGCTAAGTTACCTTAAAGCTGTTTTTAAAGTATCCATCATCACTGCAACCTAAGTTTTGATATCCTGCTTTATGGTTAACGTGCTAGGTATTGGAGCCATAGGATGTGAAGCTTAAACACCACAGAAAATAGCTATCATTTGTTGAGTCCTTATGTACAAGGTACTATGCTAAGTGCTTTTTATATTTACAGTCTAATAACCATATGAGGTAGGGGATATTGTCCCAATTATGAGAGGACAGTTTGAGATAGGGTTGGTGGCTTGATGAAGCAGGGGAGCTGGGACTTGAAGTGAAACGTTGCCAGTTCTAAAGCCTCTTGTTCATCCCTAACCAAATGCAGATTTAGGGATCCAGCCAGCTTCCTATTGCTCAATAGCTAGAGGATCCACTTTTGGTACATAGCAGGTACCTTTGTTTTGGGTTTCAAGCTGGTCTGGGCAAGAAAGTGTGGATGCATTGGCTTGCACTTCATCAGTAATGGGGCAGTAAATGATGTGAGTCTAATAAAAAATATCGTGGAACTACTAGAAGAAACAAAAAGGATTTTGGAGGGAGTTAGCTGTTACAGGTGGGGATCCCAAACAAGGCTGAAACTGAGAAGAAATTAGTGTTTTCTAGGAATAATACATTAAAAGGTCCACATTCATTCTCATGTCATTTGACATCCTGCTCTTCACACGGCTTGATATAGCAGATAGAGTAGGAAGGGCATATGGGCTTTGAAATCAGATCTGGCTGGACTCAAAAGCCCCCTCTTGCACTTTACAAGTATGTGCTCCTCTCTCAAACTCAGTTTCCACATTGTGAAATCAGGAGAGTAAGTTTTTTTTTGCAGGGTTATAAGGGTTGTAAGGTCTCAAATGGGCTCTTATGAGCTGTCTCTGTATGTTAAGTTTACAAGCCAGTTGAAGTTCAGTAAGCCACTAATTGTACAAAAGAGGCATATTTAAGCTAAGGATTATGGTATTTCTGAACAAGACCCATAACAACATGAAGTTGAGCTCTAATCTGAAGTAAAGTTTTGGAGAACTATGTGTCATTGCTGGAGGTCACTTCTGTTTTGTCCCACACCACGCTGATGCTAAAGCCTCCTTCTGAGCCCTGGGACTTAGAGATCACACCTGTAGTTGGTGTCCATAAATAGGAGTTAAAGTTTAATTGCCCAAATTATTTCACACTGATCCAGGTTGAGAATCGTTTAGTTTGCTACTACACTCCTAGTGACAGATGATGTGTGGATTTATGGGTATAATGTGACCCACCTGTCTTGTAGCTCAGCTGCAGCCACCTTGTCTGTGTGCTGGTAAATTAGCTCTTCTGGCTATAAAGGAGAAAATAGTTAAAAAATTCTACAGATCAGTTATACTTTGAATAGCTATGTATCCTTTTCTAAATATTTTTTAAATTATGAAGTTTCAGGTATTCATTCTGATAGAAAGGATAATGTAATGTACCCATGACTCACCTGAAGTAAAATATCACAAGTAAATTACAGTACTATGTAATTCTTTCTCAATTTCATTTCTGTTCTCTCTCTTACCACAGAGGTAGCCATGACCTGATTTTGTCTTTTAGCCCTCTTTCATTCAACATATATTGAGTACCTACTGTGTGCCAGGCATTTTTATAGGATATAACCATGAATATATTTGCCTGCATGGTGTTTACATTACAGTCAGTAAAGACAGGCAAATTAATAAGATGTGTTGTGATTTTATTATAGACATGTGTCCCTAAACAATACATTGTATTGTTTTACATGTTTTCTAAACTTAATATAAGTTTTAATACCGTGACTATGCAATTTGCTTTTTCATCCTTAACATTGTATTTAGAGATGATAGCAAACATTTTTAGCATGCTTACTAAGACTCATTAATGTTGATTAATTCATACAACTACTGTAAAATATTACAATTATGTACCATCATTTGTCCCTTCTTTTGTTCCAGTTCATAGGTTATTGCAAGCAGTGTTTCTACAAAAAATCCAGTATATGTCACCTTATACACATGGGAGAATTTCTCTAGGATGGTGTTTTTTTTAAACCTTTTTTTTTTGAGAGGTTTGGATCACAGTAAAAAATATATATTTATACCCAGTATAAACATACATAACTAGCTAATCAAAGCAAAGTTTTAATAACAGTTCTTGTGCTTCTTATAATCTACTGCTCACCAAGACCCTTTAAGTTAATTTTATGAGCCCCTAGTGGATTATGTCCTGCAGTTTGATTTTATGTTTCAATAGCAGTCATGAAACAATATAGTGAGTGGAGACCAGCATTGAAAAAATGAAATTGCATATACTTGATGGTACTTTTATGTCATGGGACTGCATATCAAAACTTTTTCTTTCATGTATTTGTATACTTGTTCACGGTATGCTGGTATTTCTTACTATGAATCGGGCTCAGCTAAGTTTGGAAAACAAATATTACTATAGAATAAATAGCTAGGATTAGAATTAAGGGTCAAAAATATCTGGCTACCCAGTATAATGATTTAAAATTCCTCACTTTGTCTACATTTAATTGTTAATAAAAGAAGTATACCTGAATACTGGAAAGACCAGGATATGGAAGCCTCCTTGAAAAGAAAGATTTCCATAGTTTAGGCTTGGTGACATCAAAACTGATCCTTAATGGGGAGTCATACTGTTGAATATTAAACCAAATCTAAAAAAGACAAGACTGCATTAATGTGTATGTAGTAGATACACTCATGTGTATGTGTGTGCATGTATGTATTATATACAGAGGAAACAGCAAGAAGACAGGCAGAATGCATACTTTTTTAGTCATATTTTGATTTGTAAACCAATATGCATTTTACAGTCAGTGGTATGATATAGTTGTCATTGTCCATTTTTCACGTTTTTTTTATCTGAAGTTGAGGTGTGCCTTGCTGTTGGTTTTAGGTTCATGAAGTAATGTAGTTCCTGGTGATAAGAAAATTAAAGTTTTCTAGGAGAGGACAGACAAGGCTAACCCTTTCTCAGACTAGCCTTTCCTCACTCCGCCCCTCCCAGCCTCGTCATGTGTCTACATCTTTGGTTCCACAGCAGGCTGTGTCTCTGAGATAGCACCTGTGCTGAGGCAGTGAAGCATATTGGTTCTAGAGCCAGACCATGGGCACTTGAGTTCTGGCTCCAACATTTATGAGCTGTGTGACCACGGATGATTTGTTTAACTTTGGGTTAGCTATTTTACTACTATTAGTATGTATCATGTTAATAATTGCCCGTCTATTCATCTGTCTTCTCACTAGACTACTAGTTTGTTGCCTTGAGAACATTTGTCATGTGCCTCATTCACCACTGTATCTTCACCATTTAGCATAGTTCCTGGCATACAGTAGCCATATTGAATGACTGTGTGTGCGAGTGGTAAATCTACCCATTCAGTATATTGAGTACCTGCTATGTTAGTATCTACTCAGTTCTAATCACTAGGGTAAAGTAGTGAATGAAACAGAGTTCCTACCCTCATGCAGTAGCTAATGAAAAGATAGCACAAACAAATTAGTAAATACATGAGATATCAGAGGACATGATGTAGTAGATGGTACCATTGGCCCTGATTCCTCACCCCTTTCTATGCCCATACTCTTTGCTGATACTTTGCAGTTCCTCCCACTAAAAGGGAGGAAATGTATTTGCTCACCCCTTGAATTTGGGCCAGTAGAATGGGACAAAAGTATCATTGTGATGCCTGAGTCAGAGGCTGTGTGTTCCTGCTTGCCTGCTTATGCCTCTGATGTTGTCATTGCCCCGAGCCCCAGAATAAACACACATGGAGCAGAGCTGTCCCAACCTAGAACAACAGAGCCTTCCCAGCTGACCCAGAAATCCAAGAAATGTTTGAAGCCCAAAGGTTGGAATGGGTTTGTACTCACTTCATGTGGCAATAGCTACCTGTACGAGGGCTATGGGGACAACTATGTGGGAAGAGATGAAATTTCAGGGTGGCCAGGGATGTTCTCACTGGAAAGATGGCATTTGGTCAGAAATGCAGGAAGTGGGGGAGGAATTTATGAAGATATCTGATAGGGGAGGGGTCATCTATGCAGAGGAAACAGCAAATGCCAAGAGTGCTTGATGTGTCTGAGGATCAGCAAGGCAGACAGTGGGTTTAGGGGAGTGAACAAATTAGAACAAGTAGGAGGTGAGATCTGCAGAGGATGGGGGTGGGTAGGGTGGCTGTCAGATCATGGAAGCCTTGTGGACCATTTAAAATATTTAGGCTTTGATTCTAGAGTGATCTAGGAACCCACTGGAGTATTTTAAGCACAACAGTGACATAATTTGCCTTCTATTTTTTTATTAAGATATCACTGATAAACAATCTTATGAAGGTTTCACAAGGAAAACAATGTGGTTATTACATTCACCCTTATTATTGAGTCCCCCCCATACCCCATTGCAGTCACTTTCCATCAGTATAGCAAGATGCCAGAGTCCCTATTTGTCTTCTCTGAGCTACACTGTCTTCCCCATGCCACCCCCTACACTATATCTGCTGATTGTAATGCCCCTTATTTCCCTTCTCCCTCCCTCCCTTCCCACCTACCCTCCCCAGTCCCTTTCCCTTTGGTAACTGTTAGTCCATTCTTGGGTTCTATGAGTCTGCTGCTGTTTTGTTCCTTCAATTTTTGCTTTGTTCTCCACAAATGTGTGAAATCATTTGATACTTGTCTTTCTCTGCCTGGCTTATTTCACTGAGCATAATACCCTCTAGTTCCATCCATGTTGCAAATGGTAGGATTTGTTTTCTTCTTATGGCTGAATAATATTCCATTGTGTATATGTACCACCTCTTCTTTATCCATTCATCTACTGATGGACACTTAAGTTGCTTCCATATCTTGGCTATTATAAATAGTGCTGCGATAAGCATAGGGATGCAAATATCTTTTTGAATCTGGGATCTTGTTTTCTTTGGGTAAATTCCTAGGAGTGGAATTCCTGGGTCAAATGGTATTTCTATTTTTAGTTTTTTGAGGATCTCCATACTGCTTTCCACAATGGTTGAACTAGTTTACATTCCCACCAGCAGTGTAGGAGAGTTCCCCTTTCTCTGCATCCTCGCCAGCATTTGTTGTTCCTAGTCTTTTCTATGTTGGCCATCCTAACTGGTGTGATGTGATATCTCATTGTGGTTTTAATATGCATTTCCCTCGTAATTAGCAATGTGGAACATCTTTTCATGTGCCTGTTGGCCATCTGAATGTCTTATTTGGAGAATTGTCTGTTCACATCCTCTGCCCATTTTTCAATAGGGTTATTTGCTTTTTGGGTGTTGAAGTGTGTGAGTTCTTTATATATCTTGGATGTTAGCCACTTGTCAGATATGTCATTTACAAATATATTCACCCATACTGTAGAATGCCTTTTTGTTGTGCTGATAGTGTCCTTTGCTGTACAGAAGATTTTCAGCATGATGTAGTCCTATTTGTTCATTTTTTATTTTGTTTCTCTTGCCCAAGGAGATGCGTTCAGGAAAAAGTTGCTCATATTTATATTGTAGTCTTCTAAGAGTTTTATGGTTTCACGATTTACATTCAGATCTTTGATCCATTTTGAATTTACTTTTGTGTATGGGGTTACACAATAATCCAATTTCATTCTCTTGCATGTAGCTGTCCAGTTTTGCCAACACCAGCTGTTGAAGAAGCTGTCATTTCCCCATTGTATATCCATGGCTCCTTGATCATATATTAATTGACCATATATGCTTGGGTTTATATCTGGGCTCTCTAGTCTTTTCCATTGGTCTATGGATCTGTTCTTGTGCCAGTACCATTTTGTCTTGATTATTGTGGCTTTGTAGTAGAGCTTGAAGTCGGGGAGTGTAATCTCCCCCAGCTTTATTCTTCCTTCTCAGGATTGCTTTGGCTATTCAGGGTCTTTTGTGGTTACATATGAATTTTAGAACTATTTTCTCTAGTTCGTTGAAGAATGCTGTTGGTATTTTGATAGGGATTGCACTGAATCTGTAGATTGGTTTAGGCACGATGGCCATTTTGACAATATTAATTCTTCCTATCCATGATCATGGGATGTGTTTCCATTTATTGGTATCTTCCTTAATTTCTTTCATGAGTGTCTTGTAGTTTTCAGAGTATAGGTCTTTCACTTCCTTGGAAAATACCTAGATTTATTCCTAGGTATTTTATTCTTTTTGATGCAGTTCTGAATAGGATTGTTTTTTGGATATCTCTTTCTGCTAGTTCATCATTAGTGTATAGGAATGCAACAGATTTCTGTGTATTTTGTATCCTACAACTTTGCTGAATTCAGATATTAGATCTTGTAGTTTTGGAGTGGATTCTTTAGGTTTTGTTACGTACAATATTATGTCATCTGCAAACAGGGACAGTTTAACTTCTTCCTTGCGAATCTGGATGCCTTTTATTTCTTTGTGTTTTCTGATTGCCATGACTAGGATCTCCAGAACTATGTTGAATAAAAGTGGGGAAAGTAGGCATCCTTGTCTTGTCTTGTTCCTATCTTAAAGGAAAAGCTTTCAGCTTCTCGCTGTTAAGTATAATGTTGGCTGTGGGTTTGTCATATATGGTATTGTTGAGGTACTTGCCCTCTATACCCATTATGTTGAAGAGTTTTTATCATGAATGGATGTTGAATTTTGTTGAATGCTTTTTCAGCATGTATGAAGATGATCATGTGGTTTTTGTCCTTCTTTTTGTTGATGTGGTGGATGTTGTCGATGGATTTTCGAATGTTGTACTATCCTTGCATCCCTGGAATAAATCTTACTTGATCATGATGGATGATCTTTTTGATGTATTTTTGAATTTGGTTTGCTAATATTTTGTTGAGTGTTTTTGCATCTAGGTTCATCAGGGATATTGGTCTGTAATTTTCTTTTATGTGTTGTCTTTGCCTAGTTTTGGTATTAGAGTGATGGGTATTAGGTCTTCACTAAATGTTTGATAAAATTCAGCAGTGAAGTGATCTGGACCAGGTATTTTGTTCTTAGGTATTTTTTTAAATTACCAAATCAATTTCATTGAGTATTTTTGCATCTATGTTCATCAGGGATATGGTCTGTAATTTTCTTTTTTTGTGGTGTCTTTGCCTGGTTTTGGTGTTAGAGTCAGTCATGCTGGCCTCGTAGAATGAGTTTGGGAGTATTCCCTCCTCTTGTACTTTTTGGAAACCTTTAAGGAGGATGGGTATTAGGTCTTCATTAAATGTGATAAAAGTCAGCAGTGAAACCATATGGTCCAAGGGTTTTGTTCTTAGGTAGTGTTTTGATTAACAGTTCAATTTCATTGCTTGTAATTGGTCTATTCAGATTTTCTGTTTCTTCCTGGGTCAGCCTTGGAAGGTTGTATTTTTCTAGAAAGTTGTCCATTTCTTCTAGGTTATCCAATTTGTTAGCATATAATTTTTCATAGTATTCTCTCATAATTCTTTGTATTTCTGTGGTGTCTGTTGTTCAGTGCCTCTGTCTCCTTACTTATTTTCTGCCCAGTTGATCAGTCCTTTAGAGTGAGTGGTGTGTTGAAGTCTCCTAAAATGAATGCATCGCATTCTGTTTCCCCCTTTAATTCTGTTAGTATTTGTTTCACCTATGTAGGTGATCCTGTGTTTGGTACGTAGATATTTATAATAGTTATATCCTCTTGTTGGACTGACCCCTTTATTGTTATGTAGTGTCCTTCTTTGTCTCTTGTTACTTTCTTTGTTTTGAAGTCTATTTTGTCTGATACAAGTTCTGCAACTCCTGATTTTTTCTCCCTATTAATTGCATGAAATATCTTTTTCCATCCCTTTACTTTCAGTCTGTGTATGTCTTTGGGCTTGACGTGAGTCTCTTGTAGGCGGCATATAGATGGGTCTTGTTTTTTTATCCATTCAGTGACTCTGTGTCTTTTGATTGGTGTATTCATACCATTTACCTTTAGGGTGATTATTGATAGGTATGTACTTATTGCCATTGCCGGCTTTAGATTCGTTGTTACCAAAGGTTCAAGGGTGATTCCCTTACTAACAGTCTAATTTAACTCACTTAGTATGCTATTACAAACACAACCTGAAGTTTCTTTTTTTCCCTCCTTTTTCTTTCTCCTCCATTCTTTATATATTAGGTATCATATTCTGTACTTTTTGTCTATCCCTTGATTGACTTTGCAGGTAGTTGATTTGATTTTGCATCTGCTTTGTAATTAATTGTTCTACTTTCTTTACTGTGGTTTTATTTCCCCTGGTGACAACTATTTAGCCTTAGGAATACTTCCATCTATAGCAGTCCCTCCAAAATACACTGTAGAGGTGGTTTTGGGGAGTTAAATTCTCTCAGCTTTTGCTTATCTGAAAATTGTTTGATCCCTCCTTCAAATTTAAATGATAATCTTGCCAGGTAGAGTATTCTTGGTTCAAGGCCCTTCTGTTTCATTGCATTAAATACATCATGCCACTCCCTTCTGGCCTGTAAGGTTTCTGTTGGGAAGTCTGTTGATAGCCTTATGTGTTTTCATTTTTTTTCTCTCTCTAGCTGCTTTTGAAAGTCTGTCCTTGTTCTTGATCTTTGCCATTTAATTATTATATGTCTTGGTGTTGTCTTCCTTAGGTCCCTTGTATTGGGAGATCTGTGCACATCCATGGCCTGAAAGACTATCTCCTTCCCCAGATTGGGGAAGTTTTCAGCAATTACCTCCTCAAAGACACTTTCTATCTTTTCTCTCTCTTCTTCTGGTACCCCCTAAAATTCAAAAATTGTTCCATTTGGATTGGTCACACAGTTCTCTTAATATTCTTTCATTCATAGAGATCCTTTTTTCTCTCTGTGCCTCAGCTTTTTTATATTCCTCTTCTCTAATTTTTTTCCCATTTACTGTCTCTTCTACTACAACTAATCTGCTTTTAAATCCATCCATTGTATGTTTCATTTCAGATATGGAATTTCTTAATGATTGAATCTCCATCCTAAATTTGTCCCTGAGTTCTTGAATATTTTTCTGTACCTCCAGGAGCATGTTTTTGATTTTAATTTTTCTGGTGTTTGTGAGATTTTTGTTTGAACTAGGTTCCTTTGATGTTTCATATTTGTATGTGTGCCCTCTTGTGCCCAGAAGCTCTAGTCTTTGGAGCTGTTCAACCCCTGGAGTGATGTCGGGATTCACAGGGAAGTGGCTGGTGCCGTTTTGTGAGGTCTGTTCTGTTCTCCAGGTGTATGCAGTCTGGCGCAGCCCTCTTCCCTGTTGCTCTTTCAGGATTAGTTGTATTAACTATATTTTTGTATTATATGTGGTTTTGGGAGGACTTCTCTTGTCTCACCTCTCATGCCACCATCTGTAATCTCTCTTGGAATTTGCCTTCCATTTTAAGAGAAATATTCTTTGCTGTTTTGAGACTAGATGAGGTAGGGGCAAGAAATGAAGTCTCTAGTCAGGAGGCTGTTTTGAATAGTCCAGATGAGAGCTACAGTGGTGTGAATCAAAATGGTAGCAGTGAACATGGTGACCTGTTGTCAGATTCTGGATATATTAAGGTAAAGACAATGGGATTTGCTAATGGACTGGATGGGAGAGAAAGAGAGAGGAATCAAAGATGACTCCAAGGATTTTGCCTAAGTTTCTTGACTGATGGAGTTGCCTTTTATTGAGATCAGGAAAAGTACAAAAGGGAGATAGGAGTTTGAGTCTGAGCATATTTACTTTGGGATGTCTATTTGACATCTACATGAAGATGTTGAGTAGGCAGTTGAATATTTGTGTCTTTAGTTCCAGGAGCTAGGTGAGCTAGAAATACAAATTTGGGGGTCATCAGAATATGTGTATTTCTAGGGAGGAAGTATAGATAGAGAAAAAAGGGGTTTGATGAACTCTGATTTTTCAATTTGGAGAAATAATGAAAAAGCAGCAAAAGTAAGAGAAATAAGAGATCTTGGTACTTGGAATCCAAGTGAAGAAATTGTTTTAAGAAGTCAGGGTCTTTAAGAACCTGGGTAGGAAATGTACAGAAAAGTAGTGGGAAGTAGTGCTCGAAAAAAGTTAAGGGCAGATTACATAGGGTTTTGAAATTCAGGTTTGAGAAGTTTATTCTTAAATCTGTAGGCAGTGAAGTGCCCCTAATACTATTTGAGCCATAGAATGCTGAACGCTGAACATTCAGAAACTTAAATTAGGCAACCGTGTACCAAATAAAGGAATGGAGTGGGAGGCAGATTATTTAGTTGACTCTTTACAGTAATCCAGGGTGAGACAGTAATGGCATAACCTGGGAAACAGAATAGGAGAGTCTTTATGATTTGGTATCTGTGTTAATAGAATTGAAATAGGAGGAAGTAAGGGAGAGGGGAAATCAAGGACAATTCTGGGGTTTGAATCTAGGTGATTGGCATCCACATAAATAGGAAGCCAGGAGGAGATGATGATTTTGGAGGCAAAGGGGAAATGATGTGAGTTTTGGATGTGCCGAATTTACAATTTTGGTAAAGCACCTGGGTGTCTAGCAAACAGCTGCAACTTTAGGACCCAAAGAAGGATTCTGGGGCTACTGATAGAATTATGAACCTCTCTGCCAGGATAAAGAGCTACAATTAATAGTAATAGGTGTGGTCCTGCAAGAAATCTAAATATATAAGAATCTTCAGGAACATTTATTGTCAAGGGGTGAGAAGAGCCAGTGGAAGAAACCTAAGAAGCTACTGCAGAAAAATAAAACCCAAACAGAGCTTCATCAGTAAACCAAGGGGGGGGGGGCAAGTGTCTCCTCAGACGTGGGGCTCAGTCGTGTCATGTACCACAGAAAAGGAGAGGAGAGTGAGAAGTGAGAGTGATTTGCCCATTAGCAGGGCAGTGGTTGGCACTTCTCAGTTTCATTTCTGCAGTATGGTCAGGGAAGGGGAGCAAGATAGTGGGCTAAAGTCTGAGTTTACTGAAAATGTGGAAGCAGGGCGTATAATTGGTGTCTGAAGAACTTTGGAAGGAAAGGAAAGGGGCAGTGGTGGTTTAGGGTGTAGCTGGGTTGGGAAAAGCGTATTTTAGAACTGTTGGACTTCTGAGGGCATCAAGAGGTAGAGAGAAGAGAGAACATAGGGGCAAGGTGGAGCAGTTAAGGGACCAAGTCTTGGAGTAGAAGCGGAAACGCAAACTTGGCTGGAAAAGGGAGAGATTCGGCAAAAGAGTAAAGGAGAAGGCTGTTGATCCAAAGGTAGAGGGCGGCCGAGGTTTCGGGGGACCGTCGTCCCCCTTATTGGCGGCTTTGTTTCTGGGATTTCAGTTAGGAAGCAGCAGGAGGAAGAGAGGATGGAACTGAACGAAAGAAACTCAGTCTTCTCAGGTGATAAATTTGCCTCCTTTAGCTCCCAAAATGTGAATTAGGCATTATAAATGCTATTTTGGAAGAGAAAATTGAGGACGGAGCCAGGACACAAACCCAGGTCCTTGGAATCTAAATCCTATATTCTTTCTTCAATGTCATTCTGCTTCTCTGCAGATCAAGTGACTAATTGAATGAAAAGTTCTTATTTAGGACAGTTCTACCACTGTGCTTGACACTACATTTCTTTAATTGGTATCTCTATATGTTTACATTCAGTTTTTTGATACATAAAATATTATTTAAATCAGTAGGCCAATTTGAAAAAAAAGAAAGCAAGAGTCAACCATGTTTAAGAGGAAATGGTAGTACTTACATTATCAGGACCTATTAAACAGCCCACACTTTTTAAGGGGCAGAATGCATCAAATTGTCCATAAAAATGTCCACTGCAGGGATTCCAAATTAAATAGTGACTTTGCTCCTGAGTTAGCACATAGGCAGTTGGACCCTGAAGGAAAACATACATTAAAACAGTTTCTAACTATTTGTTAAGGTCAAAGGTAGTTTGCACAGACAATTCATTATATTAGTTCTACCCCTAATTTATTTCTCTTTTCATTTTTTTATTGAAGTATTTTTATAAGATATACAATATAAGATATATAATCTTATATTGGTTTCAAGTCTATGACAGTTGTTCCACAGTTACCCATATTATTAAATCATCACCCCCACTAGTGCAGTTACTATCTGTCAGCATAGGAATATGTTACAGAATCACTGGCTATATCCATGCTGTACTACCATCCTTGTGACCAACTTACATTATGATTGAGAATTTTTGTGCCCCTTTATTCCTCTCAACCTCCCCACCCACCTGCTGGAGTAACTACCTCCCATGGTAACCACCAATCACTTCTCAGTGTCTGTAAGTCTACTTTTATTTTGTTCACTTTATTTTATTTTGTTTTTATATTCAAAAATAAATGAAATCATATGGTATTTGTCTTTCTCCACATGGTTTATTTCATTGAGCAAAATACCCTCTAGTTTGGACCCCTAATATCTAAAATCCGTGGCTAAAGGTGAAAATTAGTTTGAAGTGTGAGATTACACCAGATTTAAGAAATAAAATTTTTCTTTTTGCGAAATTCTTGATCTGCTACTAGTGCAATGTAGTGACCAAATAGGGACAGAAGTCATGTTACTTCCCCAAATATCTTAAGATTGATTGATGAATTATTAATGGAAATAAGTAGTCACTGCATTGAATTTTCAGGAAGTAAGATGGCCTTCTGTGTATTTAGAAGGCTGACTATATCTGGACACTACTTCTATTTCTAATACAGTATCTAATATTTGATATACATTTATAATTATGGGACACATAGATGTTTTGAAAGGATACATACCAAACTGTTAACAGCGAATACACCTGAACCCGAGGTTGGAGACTGACTTGAGACTTTAACTTTTTACCATAATATTTAGGTATTATTGGATCCTTTTTTTTTTTTTTACTGCAAGAATTTGTTAATTTATTGCTCATGTATAATTTCATTTGATGTTCACCATAGCTTCTGGGGAAGGCAGGACACAAATTATTATCCCAGTTTCCTTATAAAGCTCAGAGTTGTGAAGTGACCTAGAGTCATACAGCTCATGAGGAATGGGCAGATACTTGAACCCAGGCCTTGTGACCTCCTAGCCCAACGGTCTTTCCCTTGTACCAGGCTATCTGGGAGATAATGATGGAGAATGAATTTAGATTCAGATATGATACTACCTGCCTAGTAGCAACCCCTGCTATCTAATTTCCAAGATTCCTAGAGCTTCCTGGCCTCCTTTTGAAAGACTCTTTGGATGAACTGCTTCAATCCATGTAGATTTTCTAAACTTGTACCCAAAATTGCCCTAATATGTCCAGAATTTAGGGATATTTGCTGTGGGCTTCAGCAACAAATTTTAAGTGTCACTATCTCCAGTCTAATAAAAATAACAGTGATAATATAAAAATAGAGCTGCTCAGAGTCTTAGCTACTGTGGTTATCTGCTTTGTTCCCCTTTGTCTGCTGGCTTAGTATCAGATGCCTGTAGCAGTAGGCAGGAAAGGAGAAATCTATAACCTTGCCACACTTCATCGCATCCCCTTTACTCCATAGCCTGAATAACACAAGATCACTAAGGGAATCAGAATTCATAGTAACATGGGCAGGACAGGGCTTATACTAAAGGGACTGATCTAGGCAGAAGCTTTGGGTGGTAAAGGGTTCAGATTTGCCAAAAACCAATGTCAAGCATTGTGTAAGGCCCGAGTACCACCCAAAGCCAGTTCATGCCTTATCACTGGCTCTCTCTGTGTATTATGAAATCTCTGGAAACCTTCCTTGCAACTCAAAAGATCGCTATGAAAATTAAGTCCTGTCCATGATCTGGAACATAATATGACCATATTAGACAACTACACCTCGCTGTTAGAGCCAGTCTGCGTGGTCTTACCTCAGGAATAGCACTGCCCATCAGGAGCCAGGCCTTCTTACCCAGGGAGAGAAAATAATTACATAGTAAGACTGCATGCTCTTCTTCGTCTCCAGCCAGGAGATCAAGGAATTGCTGATGAAAAAAAAAATGATGTTGCATTGACTGACTGCTCTATTCTGGTATTGGCTGTACAGGATTTTTAAAAAGTCATTGTTAAAATTAGTGCCTTAAAGTATAAGACCTGGTCTTAAAGTCTTTTTGCAAAGTTTGGTACTGGACACTAAAAAACCAAGACACTTTTAATGGACACAGTGTGTCCTCTGACACTGAGGATACAGATTTCTAGAATCAGTTAACATTGTGGGGTGGGGAAGACAAATTTCAAAGTTATTTTCATTTTGAATTTATATATGGTAGCTCACAGGTGCTGAACAGTCTTTTTAAAGACTATTTTTAAGAGCAGTTATATCTTCACAGCAAAGTTGGGAGGAAGGTACAGAGATTTCCCATATATCCCCTACCCTCACATGTGCACAGTCTCCCCATTTTAAGCCCCCAACAGAGCAACAGAGTGGTACATTTGTTACAATTGATAAATCTACAGTGACATCTCATAATTACCAAAGTCCACCGTGTATGTTAGGGTTCACTCTGGGTGTTGTACATTCTATGGCTTTTGACAATAATAACACATATTCATCATGATTGTATCATTATTTTCACTGCCCTGAAAATTATTGGTCCTCTGCCTAGTCATATCACCCCCCTGGCCTGCCCCCACATTGTTCTAAGCACATTGCTTGCATTAACTCACTTAATCCTAGGACAAACCTTTGAGGGAGCTACTCTTCTCATTTTACAGAAGAAGAAGAGAGGGGAGATGATATGTAGGAAGTGGTTAAGCCAGCACATGAACTCTTTGTGTATCTTCTTATAGATCTCTTGAGGTAGTGGAAATGATATGTCTAACATTTTCAATATTGCATCTTTCGATGTGTATCTTTGAAATGTTCTCATGAGTTCTTTTTTTTTTCTTTGCACATCCTTACTTTCTGGTATAACAAAACTTTCTAGGACCGTCTTATATTTTCTCTAGACTAGTCCTGAAGCAGCCATTCTCCAGGGAGTCCTGCTTCCTTTTAGAGGCAATAGTATTTAGAAACCAAGAGCAGGGCTTCATTATAGTTGTAACTCATATTTCTGTAATTTCTAAGGAAAGGAGGTTGAACAAAAAATTTAAAGTGTACTTAAATTTCTTTGGTTTTGAGACAGCCTTCAAAGGGAGTTGTGTAGTAAAGTTTCATTTTATGCAAGCAGTACAACATGAGATCCAGACGTAGAATGTATACCAGTGATAAGATGTTTGTTTCAAATGACCTAAGATCCATTTGGAAATTATGTAGCATACATAGATTAAATTCCAGAAGGACAGCAGCTATGTTTATTTTGCTCATAGCAAGAGCATAGTTCAGTGCCTGATATGTGGTAGGTGACTGAGAAATACAAGCTGAATCAATAATGACATGGCCTACGTTAAGGAGCCCATGAATTAAGGAATATACATTTTTCAATGTAACAAAGTATAATTTTGATTTTTTTAATGACTAAAAGTGGGATATTGTTAAGATAGGGATGATAAATCAACATTTAGACATCTGAAGTGATTATATTCTATGTGCAAATAATTAATTTTTTCATAACTTCTGAACTTCAGGCAAACTGAACCAGAAAGAAAAAAATATTTCAGAATTTAGCTTATTCTGGTAAACAGATGGCCAAGTAGGTTTTTATAATGACTAATGAATGTTGCAATTTAAAATTAGCCAAGCTATTTAGCTCATATTCAATGAGGTAAGCACACAAACTAGTAGATCTGAGAGGTACAATACTTACATCTGATGTGCTCCACAGGTCACAGATGCCACTAAAGGAAACTGTGTCAGGCAAGAAAGGTATCAATGACACATATCGAGCCACCAGCTCCTGTTAAACAAAACTAGTTTTAAAAAATAATTTCTAATAAAATTGAAAGCTGGATCCTCTACCTCATTTCTTGCAAGAATATACATGACAAACATGTACAAAATGAAACAAATTCTCACCAAGTGCTAAGTTTTGTATTGATATTTATCATTTGATCTTCTCCAAACATTCTATTAGGAAGGTCATGGTTATTATCCATGAAGAATATCCATTCTTTTACAGATGAAGAAACTGACTCCTGTGTATCTTTGAAATGTTCTCATGGGCTTTTTTTTTTTTCTTTGCACATCCTTACTTTCTGGTATAAGAAGACTTTCTAGGACCATCTTATATTTTCTCTAGACTAGTCCTGAAGCAGCCATTCTCCAGGGAGTCCTGCTTCCTTTTAGAGGCAATAATATTTAGAAACCAAGAGCAGGGCTTCATTGTAGTTGTAACTCATATTTCTGTAATTTCTAAGGAAAGGAGGTTGAACATCCTTTCATATGATTACTGGCCTTTCATGTTTCCATGCCTGTGAATTCCCGTTTAGGTGTTTTGTACATTTTATTATTGATTTGTAGGGTTTTCTTTATATATTCTGGTTACTATCCCTTTGCTTATAATATATGTTGTAAACATCCTTTCCTGATTTTTGGCATGTTATTTCATTTCCTTCATGGTATCTTTGGATAAACCCAATTTAACAGTTTTAATGTGTTCAAATTTATTGTTCTTTTTCTTTTATTGCTTGTGTTTTTTTTCTCTTTTAATTAAAGTATAGTTGATACACAATCTTATATTAGTTTCAAGTATACAACACACTGGTTCAACAGTTACCCATATTACTAAATCCTCACCCCCATTAGTTACTATCTGTCAACATAGGAAGATGTTACAGAATCATTGGCTCTATTTTCCATGCTGTACTACCAGCCCTGTGACCAATTTATATTATGACTGAGAATTTTTGGGCCCCTTTATCCCCTTCATGCTCCCCACCCACCCATTCCAACCCCTCCCCCATGGTAACCACCAGTCATTTCTCAGTGTCTTTAAGTCTACTGCTATTTTGTTCATTTTGTTTTGTTTTGTTTTTAGATGCCACATATAAGTGAAATCATAAGGTATTTGTTTTTCTCTGTCTGGCTTATTTCAGTTAGCATAATACCCTCTAGATCCATCCATATTGTTACAAATGGCAGGATTTTGGAGTTTTTTATGGCTGAATAATACTCCATTGTGTATATGTACCACATTTTCTTTATCCATTCATTTATTGGTGGACACTTAGGTTGTTTCCATAACTTGGCTATTGTAAATAATGTGGCAATAAACAAAGGGGTGCATATATCTTTTTGAATCAGGGATTTTGTTTTCTTTGGGTAAATTCCTGGAAGTGGAATTACTGGGTTGAATGGTATTTCTATATTTAGTTTTTTGAGGAATCTCCATACTGCTTTCCACAGTGGTTATACCAATTTATATTCCCACTAACAGTGTAGGAGGGTTCTCCTCTCTTCTCATCCTTACCCGCATTTGTTTTCTTGCCTTTTGGGTGTTGGCCATCCTACCTTGTGTGAGGTGTTATCTCACTCTGGTTTTGATTTGCATTTCCCTGATGATTAGCAATACATATTTGGAGCATCTTTTCATTTGCCTGTTGGCCATCTGTATTTCTTCTTTGGAAAAAAGTCTACTCAGGTCCTCCACCCATTTTTTAATCAGGTTGTTTCTTTGCTTTTGTGTCATGTGAGTACTTTATATATTTT